GTAATGCTGGTTGTGACTCTGTCAGGGCTCTGCTGAAGGGCTGCCGCTGTGTGGAGCTGGACTGCTGGGACGGATCAGATGACGAGCCAGTGATCTACCACGGCTACACACTCACCTCTACGATTCTCTTCAAAGACGCGATCCAAGCCATCAAAGAGTATGCCTTCAAGGTGTGTTTAGTATCCAGTATTATCCAGTATCATAAGACATCCATTAGCACTCTATGTACGATCTGTGTATTCCATCTGGTCATCCCCAGACATCCGACTACCCAGTTATCCTCTCCTTGGAGAACCACTGCAGCGTGGAGCAGCAGGAAGTCATGTCCCACCACATGAGATCCATCCTGGGCAGTGCACTCGTCACTTCCCCCCTGGGGGATAGCATGCCCACAGAATTCCCATCTCCTGAGGTTTGTACCCACTCGTATCTACAGGTAGATTTTTTTTTTTTTATGACGGATGGTTGTGAAGATGCCACTCACAGGACTACACTGTGTGTGTGTGTGTGTGTGTGTGTGTGTGTGTGTGTGTGTGTGTGTGTGTGTGTGTGTGTGTGTGTGTGTGTGTGTGTGTGTGTGTGTGTGTGTACACATACCTCCAGGAACTGAAGGGGAAGTTCCTGATCAAAGGGAAGAGGTTAAACAAACTGGAGGCCAGCTTTGCTGCTGAGGCGGAAGCAGCTGATGACACGAATGTGACGGAGGAGGAAGAGTCAAATGATGAAGATGAGGACAAGAAGGAGGAAAACCAAAGCAAGGTGGGTGGTCACATCAAGGAAGAGTCAATAAGGAAATCGATTTCAGCTAACACATTTTTAGCATTAGCACACATTTCTTTAATTTCCATTTACCACGTAGCAGAAAAAGAAGCTGAAAATGGCCAAAGGGCTGTCCGACATGGTGATCTACTGTAAGAGCGTCCACTTCAACGGCTTTGAGGACGCAAGAAAAAACCTGAGCTTCTACGAGATGTCGTCCTTCAAGGAGGGAAAGGCCTTGGAGCTGGCAGAGGAGTCGGGTGAGGAAGACTTCAGGCTAAATTCAAGTTTTTTTTAGGGTCGAGATTTATCTAAGTTATATTTTATACGTAACTAATTGTTTATTTGTATGATAATTCATTTTCTCTAAAGCATTTAAGATCTTAGCTATTTTGATTAATATTTACTGAAAAGTTGGGGAAACAAAATTGATTCAATCATTTCAAATCAGGCCTGACACCAGTTGTTGTTGTGTGGTCACTGTATTGCACACACAATGTTTCCCCCTCCTGCGTGATGAGTCAGGTCAGTAGATAATTCTCTTCCTCGGTCTCGGTGTGTCCTCTGTAGCTAATGCCTACATCCGTCACAATGTGGACAAGCTGAGCCGCATCTATCCAGCAGGCATCAGGACTGACTCCTCCAACTACAACCCAGTGCCTCTGTGGAATGCCGGCTGCCAAATTGGTACATAATACTGACACAGTCCTGTCTGATAATGGAACCAATGAACCAATGGACAATCTTGACATTTAGCTAATGGAAGACAGCTTCTTACTTGGGATTCATCAATGTCATTTTATTTATTCCTTTTCAGTGGCCCTAAACTTCCAGACATCCTGCTCAGACATGGATGTTAACCAGGGCAGATTCCTGGTTAACGGAAAGAGCGGCTACATCCTGAAACCTGCCTACATGAGGGACAGAGGCAGCGAGTTTGACCCCATCACCCTGACCCGAGGAGACTGGCTGAAGCACAAGACGCTGCATGTCATGGTTGAGTGTTTTGCACACTGACTGTAGTTTCCTTTTTTACAGTCGATCTTTCATCATGTGACATGACGTGTCCCCCACCTGTCACCAGGTTATATCAGCCCAGCAGCTTCCCAAAGTGAACGAGAAGAAATCGTCCATCGTGGACCCGCTGGTCAAAGTGCAGGTGTACGGAGTGCCAGATGATGTTGCTGAAAAAGAGACCAATCCTATTGATAACAATGGTACCTTTCCTTTCAATCACTATATGTGTCCGTTTGTACTTTACTTTAATTTTTCAATCTAGTCCACATGAAGCAAAAACTGGTTTCTTCTTTTATAGTTTTTTTATACTTAGCAGATTATTACCTGAATATAGCTAATGCAACTAGGGGTGAACTATTACTTATTTATCGATTTATCTGTGGATCCTTTTCTCGATTAATCGATTAGTTGTTCCGTAAAATACTGAAAAACAGTGATCCCTGTCTTCCAAAGCCGAAGCTGAAGTCCTCTCGTTTTTGAACATATTCAGTTAACTGTCCTAGAGAACTAAAGGAGCCAGAAATATTCACATTGGAGAACCTACAATCAAAGAATGTGACATTGACATGACTCCAAACGATTGATACATTATGAAAATAGTTAGTTATTAATTTAATAGTTGTCAGCTAATTGATTCATTGACTCATCGTTGTAGCTCTAGATGCAACATTTATGTTTTGATCACAATGATAATGCAGTTCTGACATGTTTCAGCTAGCTAAAGTTAAAGATAAACATCAGTATTTGGCACAACTTCAGGACCAAGTAGAGCCATGGTGTGTAGAACATGTCTCTACCAGTAGTAGCCTCCATAGACCAGAATGCAATGCAGCCCACAACACACGTAGCATTTTGAGTGAATTGTAAGACTGTAAGCTTGTGCACTGGCTCTGCCTACACCGTGTATCTGTGTTTAATGTGTAAAACCTGCAGTTAGATACAACTAATGTGTTCATGCCCCCTTTAAAGCACAAGTAGACGAGGCAGGTTAAAAGATCACCAAATAACTCCTGGAATGCGCTGAACATCAGAAATTAATGATGCCTAACATAAAGTTACTGATGGCATATTTCTTCCTTTCTGTTTAAGGTTTTAACCCAACGTGGAACGAAAACTTCCAGTTCGATGTGTACGTGCCGGACCTGGCATTGGTGCGCTTCGCCGTTGAGGACTATGACACCACGTCCGATAATGAGTTTGTTGGACAGTTCACACTTCCATTCAACAGCTTAAAAATGGGTAAGCTCAGCAACTGGCTGCGGATATTTACTGTTCTGTAAGCAGATGATGTAAAACCACTGATAGTTCTTTGTTTTCACACTTCATAAAAGAACAGACAGGAACTATCCCTTCTGTGGTAGAGCATAGATAACTCAATTCACACTGTGCACACAGTGCTCTTCATATTCTCCTTTTTTCTTTGTGTTCCCACACAGGATACAGACACGTGCCTCTGCTCAATAAGAACGGAGACGTTGTCCCTTCAGCTGGGCTCTTTATACACATCATGGTCCTTGATGCTGAGTAAAAACATCATCGACTGGAATGCGCCTCTGCAGGGACCTCCGTTACACAGCCATGTTTTAGTTGGTTTTAATTCTTTGTTTTGGATCTATAGCTTTAGTTCATGATTATCTGATTGGCTTGATTGCAGTAGTTTGAGCAGCTGCTGTAAAACATTCTTCTCGAGGGACAGTAGTGTGTTGAAGTCTTCATCTGCAACTGTAAATTAGTTGTATTGGGAGGTGGGTGTATGCATGCAAATACTGTACATACACACTGGGTTTGCTAGGCTTTATAATGCTCCATATGTCACATTAGAGGGACTGTCGATGCAAATTGTTTAAATTGGTTTGTATGAGTTGCACTAGTGTTTTACCATGTTTAGTTTGATATTGGATTTTTTTTTAAGACTTAAAGCTTGTGTCCCTCATTTCTGGTCTGTTAATGTATTGTCTATTTAAATATTTGTACTCAGATGACCATTTTATGAATTTTGGAGAAACGCAAGCTAAAAAAACAATGTGTCAATCTGTCGAGTAATATTTTTAGTCAAGTATATTATTTTTTCAATAATTTCACAATAACTTCTTTATCTTTTTGTAAATCAAGATTAAGATAAAGGTTTCAAACATGAACACCGGTCTCCGTCTCCCCCTCCCCCCCGGACACTGTACTTTGATGAATATTATCTGTAGTCACGCAAGACTTTTAAGATGAACCAAATTATTAATTCTTCTCATCCAGTGGTACCAATTGTATCGGTCTTATCACTGCCGCCTTTCTACAGAATAAATTCATTACCTAGTGAACTATGGATGGACACACCCTTGGTACACAGAGCGTCAGTACAACAATCAAAAGGAGGTCAGACTGCACTGACTAATGTAATTCTATTTACCGTCTTGTGTATTTCAAGTATAAACTACAGTCAATAGATTTATTGTGAAACAAGGTTATTATAGCTAATTAGAACTAGGTGTAAAAAACATTTTAGTCAACTAAAATAAAAATGCAGCTGGCAACAAAAAATAAACTGAAAGCATATTGTGTGCTAAAATAAATATATACAGGAAATGTGTTTAGTTTTATACTCTGACAATTTTGTCAAATCTGCCAACACAAGCGATTGTATTGTAATAAACTAATCCAAACCTATCAAACTAATAAAAAACATGCTTAGTGATTAGCTGGTGGATATAGTGGAGCATTTAGCAGCAGTAGCAAGAGTGAGAAAAGCTAAAAACTGTTAATATTGGACTTTACGTTGCTCAGGTCCAAACTAACCCTAATGTTTCTCCATATCTGCTGAACGTGTAAATAGGAAACTGTGCTAACAAGTTCTCCATATCAAAGTAAAAGGTGTGTCAGTTTTGGGTTTACAGCTTGTTCTCACTGGCTGTTCTGGAGAACTGAGGTAATATCCCAGCTCATTTAGACTAATAAAGACTGAGTTAGCTGCCATTAGTCTGCTGACAGAAGACAAGCAACATCCCTCCATAAAAATGTGCTTTATTGTCTGGAAAGAAATTAATAAGAAAAGAAATGAATCAGTTCACTGTCAAATATACTAACAGAACACATTATCATTCTCTCTCATGACTGAGTTAATAGACCGTATCAGGTACAGGAAGTCAGTCACACCAGGTTGAAGAGATGATCTTTGGCCTTAACTTATGTCCGATATCGGACATTTGTATGAAAGAAATATAGACATGACAAAATTGTTTCAATGAAGCCTTTTATTATGGAAAGAAAGAAAAAACTGATGCTCAGGATGACAACACGCTGCCAACACTCAAAGTAAGCAAACAAGAACCGACAAGTGTTTCTAAAAGAAAAACAAAATGTGAATAACCTGGCCAACAAAAAAAAACAAACAAGAAAAAGCACAGTGACTTGAACTCAAGTGTTGTAGAACTTTGGTGTTAAATCAATACAAAATGATGAATGTGTGATAATGAGTGAGGTGATACACAAAGAAACACTGTAAGGAAGCACAAACAAGATGCCTGTGCACACACATACACACACGCGCACGCACACACACACACGCACACGTCCCCTGATAGGAAAGACGAGACCTGACTGAGAACTCTCACCAAAGGCAAGAAAGAGGGGCATTACAGATCTGAAAGGAAGAGGAGGAAAAGCTGGATGGGTAATATGCAACTTTTCAAACCAAATACTGACAAACGGTAGGTAGAAAAATATCACAATGATACAAACAACATTTTTCAGCGAAAGGTAATCATTGAGATTTGAGAAGAGTCGACCGAACACTTCTTATAAAAAGGACATTGCACTGAAACCACCGACACAAATGCTTATGCAAGAGAAAGAAAATATTTCTATACGCCTGAAGGAGCAGCAGCCTTTCAACTTGAAAAAAGAAAAAAAAAGTTGGAAATTATGAAGTAGCGTAGGTCTTTTTAATGTAACATCATGACCCATAAACCAAGCAATAAAGCAAATGAGGTTTGTTGGAGCGTACAATCCCTTGATGGGACCACAGAGCTTCTTCACGCTTCATTGCTTTATTTTATTGTCTCACAATGTTAATTCACCTGACCATATATGGTCTACATATATGGCCGAGCCGTGTTCACACTCCATAAGAAAATACTAATGAGACAACGCTAAAACGTGTAGATGTGACCTCGGAATTAATGAAGAAACATTGCTTTGTGCCTCCACAGGCAGTAAGGCGTCAATGCCATGATGAGGTTCCTCACAGTCCTTTTGCAGTGCCCCAGTAGTGTTCCATTTAGAGCTGGCCCCTAACATCTGGAGGCTGTCTGGATGGGCCAGGACTGAGCACCCATCTGTAGGTTTGGAAGGCGTCCTTTTATTTACTTTCTTTCACAACAAAAGCTATGATAACTATGGCAATGTAGTTCACTATACAAGGTTGTTTGGCTGCTGTTGCTGAAATATACCAAGCAACATTCAAGTTGTTTTCAGTATTTTAACTCTGAAAAAAAAAAAAAAAAAAACATTTTGACATTCTAATAATTTAAATGCTATTCTAAAATGACTGACGGAGTTAAATGTGTATGTCCAGTTTTTGATCAAATAAAGTGAAAATTAAGGTTTGAAAGTTCCATCATGAACCCTAAAAGTCATTGTGATAATCAGCCAGCCTCTACGGTCAACCAAACCTCTAATGGCTAGCTGCGTCAAGTGCTCTAGACACCCAAACCAAACACTTGGGATGGAAACTCCCCCAGAAAAGGTTATTGCCATGGTAGCTAATGTTGCAGCATTCGGTTTTGTGGCTCCTCTCAAAACGTAGGCACTGAGGTGAAGAGCAGTTAAAAAGAGTCTGGGAAGGTAAACACCACACATAGTCTCCGCTGGTTTTACACCAGGACTAGACGAGAGTGGGCCATCACTGTATGTAAATAACAAGAGAATGGTGCCATTTTAACGCTGTCCAGACTCGACCCGACACTAAACTATATACCCTAAAGACACTGTCCTTATGAAAGAATAAAAACATGGCACTCGACCCATTTACTGTAAAATCCCAGACCATTTGAAACAACAAAAGGGATACCTTTGCAACTGTGTACAACTCTGGAGAAAGATCATCCCTGAAGGATGAAGCTCCACCACTCGTGTGTGCCAAAAGAAAAAAAAAGAAAAGAAAACAATGTGGGCTAAAAGCTAGCCATATGATAAGCACAACATGACAAATGAGGACCTCATAACATTAAAAACATACAAATGTATTTGACAACTATTTGTCAAAAGAATATACCCTATAATGCTATACTTACTACTAATGGTTTAACAGTTATAGCTGAATCCCTGTTAAAGATATGAAGCCTGTTAAAAATAATTTCCTTATTTGGCAAATAATACAATTAGATGTGGGGGGGAGCGGGGGAATTAACGTGAGAGACAAAAAACAAATGGCACAATTTTATCTGAGCTTTCAGATCAAACTATCAAACGCAAAGAACTACTGTACTTGCAGGTGGGGCATAAGGTTCACAATTGCAAACGTACTCCTTTGCCTAAAACAAATTAACTATGTCTACATATAATGAAAGCAGAAAGAAACAAAGTCACATCTATATAATGGCACAAGCATACCAGGAAAAAAAGAATACTATGGAGACATTTACCCAGCGTTTGATGATCAAAAAACCTAAAGTAAAACTTTTATATCAAGATACTTCTGTGTCCACCTTAAAGCATATTGTGTGTGAAAAGACTGAAGTACTCTGGAAATATGCTGTGTACAAAATACCTCCCCATATAAACAACATTCACACAAGGCACTTCATTCAGTAAGAAAAGAGAATCACAGTCCTTTCTACTACCAGAAACTGCCTGCATAGCAACAATACGAGGACAAAATCTTTCCAGGCTTTTGTGTGGTACCACAAAAGGAGTTTCAGAAAAAAAAGTTGTTGGGGGATTTTTTGGTTTTAAAACAAGCACTTCACCGAATAGTAAAACTTTGTTGGTTTGAAAATAAAGACCAGAGTTCATTCCTCTTAGCATTTTGTCCCCAATATTATCAGCTTAGGACGCTCTGTACACTTTCTGGTGTGTTTTTTTGTGAAACACAGTGCTTCTGGGATATTTAGTGTTTGGTTTTTTTTCTGATGGCACTCAGAAGGAAGCCAGTCACCCGGTGATGAGAGCAGAGAAGGGGTTTCGTGAATGTTTCCACAGTGAGACTCCAAGGCGTCCCCTTGGGGCAGAGACAAGAGGGGCGCGTGTGGGAGGATCTGCCTGAGTCTGAGAGATGTGGCTGTAGAAAGGAGCAGAGATCAACAGAGACGAGGATGGAGAGCGCGGGCGGCGCTGTGGTGTGTCCTGCTACCTGCCTCTCAGATTCTGCAGGACTCCGTAAACCTCTTCTTCTTTGCTGAGTCCCTCAAAGAAAGGCAGCAGGTCCAGGAGCTCTGTGTCATTCATATCGTCAAACCAGGATTGGACAGGGACCTTGGGAGACAGGGAAACCACCTGCAGTTAGCTTTTATTTAATACCAAGTCGCATCACCAAAGCCCCTTTTACACTGGACCCACAAACACCCACTAACATCTGGCTATTGTCTTTCATCTGGTTCTCATTCCCAGGTATTTATCGGCCCCAGCTTAAATATGGTTCCTGGGTGGACATGAAAATCTTTGCCTCTTTCCCAGCGCATAGAAGTTCTACATTACTTATTGTTTTTTTTAGTGTCTATGGGAACAACGTGCAATGACGAGTTTGTTCTTCATATCAAGCTAAATGCAGCACTGGCACTAGCGAGGTGAGAGAGCTTGGGACAGATTTAACATCAACACCAGCATCATGTTTTCCTAACTGTCATTAAAACTACGTTGACTACATTAGTGAGTATATTTAAAGTCATGGTAAGAAAAGTAAAATACAAAATGTATATAAGATAATGGACTATATATCCAGGTAGCAAACAATGGGAGCCTAAAACTCGTTAGTGGCAAGGCAAGTTATAGAACAGAAGCAGCCTCTTACTGTGACAAATATATTAGTGGTTTAGGAACTCACAGCATTTTCGGGGTGGAAAATGTAAGAGGCGGGTGAATTGTCAACAATGATGACGTTGCTGAGCTCTCGTCCCAGCCGGCTGAGGTCTTTGACATAGTTCCCTCTGTGAAAAACGCAGGATTCTCTAAAGAGTCGTGCTCGAAACACGCCCCACTGATCCAGCAGGTCTGCCACAGGGTCTGCATACTGTCAAAGTCAAACACACACAGAGCCACGTTACATTGCTATGAAAACAAATATTAGACATATGGATTTCACTGTTGTACAACTATAAAAATGCAGATAATAAATCGAATTGTATGTTGTGATGCAAATCTTTGTGGTCATGTCTGATCTAGAGTGCTAAAAAACAACTTGCAAATACTACACGGTTATTCCAAAAGGAAGCAAAGCAGGTCACCCTTCACAGTGGTGTTTTCTTGACAGGAGAGATGCCTCAGGAAAACTCTACTCTACGACAGAACAAGCAAAACTGACACCTAGCTTTTAACGCAGCATGAGGAACATCTGACACTACTGAAACATCAGGCCCTTAACCCATTAATTTCTGTCTCATTCATCAAACTTACCCATGGCATTATTGGCTAAGATGCAAATGACACAGATGGAGAGCAAAGCAGAGGAAGTGTGAACATTCAGACAGCAAGAGCAGAAAAAATATAATACAGTGTAAAACAGAAAATAGAAAATGTTGTTCCATGGCAGTCGCTGCCTTTTAACTAAAACATGTCAGAATAAAAAAAAACAACATGTCTGCATCTAAACACACCTTGGCAAGACTGGCTGTAAAAAGCACACATTCAAATAGCTCTCCCATCTTTTGAAGAAACTCGTCCACATGGGGTCGTTTCAGCACATACACCTGAGAGACACAGCAGATTTTAGACCAGGTTAGACAAAAAAAAAAACAATACATGATGTAACATAGGTGTCAGGCAAACACACCACTTAAAGTATAAAATGTGAGAGTAGCAAAATGTACTATAACCGTCAGTGATTCATAGCAGCATTAAGACAGTGCAGTGCTACATACAAGAACACAGGATTACTACAGAAAAAGTATTTCTTGAATTATCAAAAATCTTCAGCTTGGTGAAGAAGATATCAAAGATATCGTCCTCACTCACGGTTTAGATGTCCTCCTCTTTCTGTCCAGTGGCTGCCACCCAGTGCAAGTAATCATGAATAGGCCAACCAGAATACAAACAGCCTATCCTGGATTACTTGAACTAGATCACAGCCATTCTCTTCAGGATCTTCATATAAATGGAACTCTTGCCCCTAATGAAAAAGGTATACTTGATTAAAAATGTCTTTTTACTGTGTGTGTACAATACCTGATGAACGGTACCATCGATCTCCACTGGAACAATAAAATCAGCATTGCTGATAGGCTGTGTGAAGAAACACAATAGCATATCAGGGTCATTCAAAACTGGTGTAGTGCCACAACTGATCAGCAGAGGTCCTGCTAGGAACACTAAAACTTTGCAATCCATTATAATTTCATCAGAATCAGAAATACTTTAATAATCCCAGGGGGAAATTGTTTTCGTTACAACACTCCAGATATACAAACAACATATTATACAAATTATATATATATATATATATATATATATATATATATATATATATATAAATAAAAAAAAAATATATATACACACACACACACACACACACACACACAAGATCATGATTCATGAAACAGTATACTATATAGCTACACTGCTAGCACTACTAACAATGATGGTTAGTCTCATCTTTAATTGTTAAGCACTAACTTGTCAATAATCATTTGTGCATAACAATGAGTTCAACAAGCAGTAGTATAACTGAAACTGTATCTGACTATTACTCACAATATTTTTGTTTTTTGTTTTTTTTGCATTATTGTTAATAATTACCATGCAATAATTGTGTGTAAACTGGATTACTTAAGATTTAGGTTTTTTTAAAAGGCAAGTTTATTCACAAGTTTACTGTAGCACATCATGTCCCGCACCATCCAGGCTGTAATTGGTCGGTTCACAAAAACTGACACTGACGAGTGCATCAACTTCATGAAAAGTTAAAAATGTTTCAACAAAAGACCTAATATAACTAAATATATCAAGCCATCCAAACCCTGCTTATATTATCTATATTGTATCACTAGTTCCTGCTGCAAAACCTCAACTAACAGATGAACTTTATTGAGGATGTTAAGGAGGAGAGGATGTGCGCTGGTGCATAATCAAAGTGATTTCTCACAGTGCTCCTGATGGTCAGTAGGACTATGGCGCACAGAGCAGGTTGCATATATATATTTGTGCAATTTAAACTTTTATTAGGTTTCCTGGTATGCGCCAAGCAGATAATTACACAACAGTCAAACAAATAGAATGTATACATTAATACATTTTTTATTAAACTCATTATTTTCCAAATCCCTCCTCATTCTCCTTCCTTCTGCAACCTCTTAAGTAAAGGAACTAAACAGGCAACAAGGTGGTCGTCCCCAAAATTTCTATATGTGACAACTGTATTACCTGTAGCTGGTTTCCAACATCAGCCACCTTATTACCATCCTATTTTTTTGTGCACAATCAGGACTGTAATATTGCCCCTGTTGTTACTGCATCACATCCTCCACCACCTGCTCATCTCCTGACTTTGTTTACACGGTGATCTAAATGGATTTGACAGCTTTGACTTCCTGCAGGTTATTGGTTGAGTTTTAGACATAAAAGGTAAAGATAACATAGGATATATAGCATATGTATTATTCTCACTGCAAGGTATATATACACACACAGTATGCTTTACAATTATGTATGTAAATGCTTAAATTAAAATGCACTTCTGTTTTCAGGGTAGCTAAAGTTAGGATCTTTTAGATTTAGACGGTCACACCAACTGGTGACTGTATCTTTCAAACATAGAAGGCCTTAACCAGCTCACACACTGACAGCTGACAATTGCAGAACTGTGCACACCATCAACAGTAAACCTCAACTTGAATTTTAGTCTCTTCTTACCTTGAATGAGCTGTGGACAAGTGTTTCGTCCAAGTCAATCACCACACACTTTTTTCCATAGTCAGATATTATCATCTCTGGTAGGAGGTATTTGGCTGGTGGCTGGGGGGGACAAGGCAGATAATGTCAGATACATGGCGAGAGACAGAGTGTTTGAGAGAGAAAGACAGGGGGGAGAGACAGTGTGAGAGAGAGATACAGAATATATACTTTGCATAAATTACTGTGCCAGGCTGAGCAGAAAAGCCAACACCATGTTAGGAAGAGCCAACCCATCTCCATGGGTGACAATGCGGCTGAGATAAAGCGATGTCTGGAATTGCATTTAATGGACCTATTGCTTCAAATAACACCCTATGGAATTATTCAACAGCAGACATTTCCCTGCTATACAGCCACCTACTCAGAGAAAGTATCGCTGTCTTGAATCCCCCTAGATTCTCAAATCTATGGAGATAAATAAAACTTTTCACATATTCTCACAGACAAAGGCCATGCAAAGGTTAGCTACTGCTGCTGCTGTAGAGCAGTGTTAGTTTAACTGAAATCACTCAAACTTAAACCTCATGAAAATGCCAATAAACGTCAAATTCATGTGTGAACGTAAAAGGATGAAATCATGCAGGAAGTTTGCCCCAGTACAGGAACAGTGCTCTATTAAAAATCCATTCACTTTTGATGGATCTTAAGACTTGATCTTCACGTAGTCACTGATGGGTGATTTGAGCGGTATGTTGGTCAGACCACCAGATAACCACATCACAGTAATTCCTTCCTTGAGTGATGGATGTATTTGGATGAATTAGTTTCACCCATTAGAGCTTAACTCTCCCTAATATTATTTAACTGCATGGATAAGTAGCACAATAAATGGATTTACTTGTTGCCTGGAAGCACCTGAGGCGATTAACAGAAACTGGTTTATACTTTAACTTGTTAGACAGTTAGTCTCACGGTATTTTCGAAAGCATACAAACCAAGTGTCACTCATGCAGATCAGGCACTGAGGCGCCACTTAAACCCATAGGTGCATATACACCGTCCACACAGCCAGAGCTACGATCGGCTGAAAATGAACCGCAGTACGGTAGAAGAGCAATAGCTCTCTGAGGAGAACTGGAGCCCACACAGACAGGATGTGCCAGCACCAGCCCACTCAGCCTGCATGCAAAGGAAAAGACAAAAAAAGGCAATACATACACTAGGGACAGGGATGACCTCGACCTGGTCACACTACAACACAAGAGAGATAGACACACACAGACACATACAAAAACAGGGTGAGGGGAAGGAAGGAGAACAAAAAAAGAGGCTAAAAAAGGTCAATGGAGATAAAGAGGGACACAATGGAACAGCATGTGTTTAGTGGAGGAGCAGCCCACCTTGGGAGGCGATCCGTTCTCCTCAACAGGTGGAGGCAGGGAGCTGGTGTTGGTGTTGGTGGTGGCTGGCGGTTCCACATTGTAGTTGCGGAAGCAGCAGAAGAATGTGCTGAAGATGCCCCGGCTCCTCTGCTTCTTTAGGCTGCTGTTCGACTGGGACGCTGTCAAAACAACAGGAGCGGGTGGGAGAGCAGAGGATGAACAAGTGGATATGCAAATCTATATTCTGTCATAAAAATGGAGCAGGCTGAAGCTAGGAAGCGTTTATGTTTGGTTATTTGCATGCTGAGTGGGGATGCCGCTGGAATAACTGGGAACAAACTGTTATATGTTCATTACAATTTTCACAAGTGGCCACAGTGGTGTGAGCTACACTGAATTACAAAAATAGGTGAGACCTTGACAGTGTAATTAAATGGCATTAGTGTTGGTTTTGTTGACCCGGCCTGGCAGAACCACTGATCAGAAAATAACTTAGCTGGCTGGGTGACTTCATCAGTCACACATAGCGACAGTTCAGAGCATGCTCTGCTCTGATTGCAAATCGCCTCTCATTCCAGGACTACAGAGCGGGGCCTAAATCAGACACTGAGCTTTTATTAATAGTGACAAGTTAGACACTGCACCCTCCACCCTCCTCCTTTTTGCCCTGTCGTGGATCCCGTCACCTGATTGGCCCAGAAGTCTCCATTTTGAAGGCTTGCTTATGATTCCCCTCCCATATTTCAGCTGGCAGGTGAGTGACTGAAGCAGCCTGGACATGCACAAGAGACGACAGGAGAAGGAGGTGGGAGGCCCTGCGCCCCCGCAGAGCCTATACAAGGCTGCATTCCTCTCCACCCATTAGTCCCCCCTGCTCACCCCTCGGCTCACACAACCAGAATGCCTTTTGCAACTGAAGACCAGCGAAGAGCAAACAGCATTATGTCATGTCTTTTGGCATCTTGATATTGTGCCACTTTGTGCTCCTGACCTTAAACAAATACCCAGCAGACATTTGTCATAGGAAACACTGCATTAGGGAAAATCCATCAAAAATGTCTTCAAACAAGCTAGGGCACAATGTATTAGTTAGGACAACAAACTTACAAATACAAGAACTATTTCTACATCAATCCAGCTTCCTTGAGTGTTTTTCCAACTAAACAGTCCCACGTGCCATTGTATCTTGAGACCACAAAAGCAGCTAATGCCTCATATTGTGTCGTGAAAGGGTACAATGTGTGTAGCACTATTGTTTTAGGAAGATTACCTCAATTCTATATTCCAGAGCTAAAAATACTTGTGAGTGCAGGAAAGGTATCAGACACTGACAGAGTAACAGCATGTCACGGCTACATGAAACACTTTCTGCCTTCCCTGATCTCTGTCATTTCCCTCTATCACTGGCTTCCAGTCACATTAATTACAGCCTGTCAAGCTAGGGCACGCAGTGCTGGGTAGGACTATATCTTATCACATAAGCTCATTCACTCGAAGATAAGTTAAGTACAATACATATATCCATCAACAAGTAAACAACATTAAAACAGTCTGACTATTTTAAGTAACTTAAAATCCCTGCACACATGGAACTACTCAGAGAAGCAATGACGATGGAGTACTACAACTCAAAAGTATTTGACTATTACTCAATATTTTTGTTTTTGGTTGTGTTATTGTTCATTTTATTACAATATTTTAGATAGAAAAAGTTAGTTTAGTGTAGAAAAACTGGTTACTGATGATTACTGAAGATTTAGGTTTATTTTAAAAGGTAAGTTTATCTGTTGACACAATTGTTTTGTTTATTTATACTGACCGATGGATACACCTTTTCAGAGTTGTTGAGTATAGTAATATAAAGATTGAGCAAAATTAACAGCTGTTTTGGTGGACATAGTGAAACTGGGTCCCTTACACTTAATTCTTTTAAATGTAAGTAATCTAAGTAAAATAAATAACTAACCCATATTCTTAGCGTCCAAAACAAAAAGTGGCATACTTTTAACAAAGAGGAATAAAACAGGACACACAAGGTGCCTGCAACAGAGAGTTTAAAAGACCACCATCAGACCCAGTCTACTGGAAAATACCAAACTTTTACACAACACTGCAACAACCACCAAATACCAAACTAATAAACTGATTGAGAGATTTGTTTGGAAATATCACCGGAGCATAGAATGCTTTATTTTAGGAATTCAGAACTGAAATATAACCAAACTGTTCCCTATGATCCCCTAGATTTAGTTAGAGAGCAATGCTGCAAGATGATCATATCTGCGATAATACATTTGGTTTCAATTTAAAAATAACCTAATCAGTACCACACAAGTTCCTTTATTAAACTGGACTTTGTCTGTCATTTCAGCTCTATAATACTGTAAAACTGGGACAGTGGGGCAGTTGTCAGCTTCCTGTGACTCATCACTACAACCGGCTGATTCCTGCACAAAGACCCTCAGAAAACAGCCAAGATTACGGAGTCATGCACAAAGCAGAACTGTGCCTCAAACACACATCACTCACCTGGGTGGATGGAGGGTAGTAAAACACTAATAAGAGGGTAAAGTCTGTTTAATTAATAAAAAGGTAGAGGTCTCTTCACAGTCTATTCACATCTTCCCCACAATACATCCCAAGGTTTCTTTACTAAACATTTATTGAACACAGCAACATATTCTCTGTGCTGTTCCTCTTGGTCTTACAGTATATCCAGCATTAGGCTGTCCACATACAAACACACTATGAATCATTTGTCAGTAGGTGTGACAAATGGGGTCTGACCAAGAAAAGCCACCTCTTTCTCTACCCAGGAGGAGTGTATGTTGAGATGCTAAATCACTCACACACGAAATGCAGTGCAAAATAAAAGCTTTGCATCTGGTCTGCTGCAGGTGGTGCACTGAGCATGTGTCTAAATAATACTACAAACCTGTCAGTGGACTGACTTTCCACATATATCCAGTATGTCAAATGTAAACACACTACTCTCACAGGCACTAGGCCTTTCTACAGAAAAAAATGTAACTCAGTCAAAAATGATGAAATTAAGCCTCCCACTGGCATTAAACATAAAGCATATTTGCATCCAAAGAGTGGAGAGGACCAAATAAGACACTGTTCTAAGAGAAAAGTCACACATACAGTGCATATAAAGTGCAACAATCTACAGACTATTCAGGGCAAAAGTTGTTGATGGAGGCAACCACTTTTATCACCTCACAACATGTTCACAAGTTTAAGGGAATCTTTGTGAACGCACTCTGGCTACAACACAAGCAGTTATCATAGGTGGCCTCAGCTCTGAAGTGTGATAAGCTTCCAGCATGAACGGATCTTTACCTCCGCAAACAATGTCAAGTTATAATAACTTAAAGGGCTCAATATATAATCACAATCTTAGAAAAAAAGCTTGTTCCACCACCAAAAACCAAAACAATGAACCTGCCATAGTTTCCAATTTTATTGCCACATCTTTTGATTCACTTATTTTACCAGAGACAACAACTAAAACTTGTTATATTCATTTCAAAATGGGAGATCATTAAAGGAAAACATGCAAAAGTTACACACAGAAAGGCCACACCATTGGATTCAAACTGTCATAATCAAGAATGCAACAAGTATTTTAATAATAGACCATGTAATGTATTTTTATCTCATCTATAAAAAATGGGTTTTAAAATAAATAAAACATTTTCCTCTGATTAACCTGTGCTGGGCAGATCTTAAAAGGGAAACTGTGGCCAAGTTTGTATCATTACAATGTGGGGCATATATGCAAATGAACAAAGTTTATCTCCCCTGTTGCATGCCCCCAGGGTTCCCTACTCATTTGCCACAAAAAGTCAGTCTTTGGAGGCAGGCATACAACATATCAGGAAGTACAATCTGTCTGTCTGGTAACAGAGAAATAAGCAAGGAGTTCTGGGTGCAGGCAACATGGAGGGAAGTTAAACATTGTTCATTTCCATATACTACCCACACTGTAATGATACAAAGCTGGTTGAAAATCAGCACATTTTTCCTTTAACATAACGTAACAGTACATCCAGTCAGTTAAATTGACGTTCAACTGAACATGTGCTCCATCCTTATAGAACTTAGTTGGCAGTTGCAGATTTTTCATTTGCAAGTCAAACTTTTGAAATAAGTCTGAATATACTTAACATTTATGAGGTCAAATAGGGAACTCTTATCTGTAACAGCCAATAACTAATATGGTAGGAATTACAGTGGAAGCCATGGAACACCTGCAATGCTCAACGTATACCACAACACATAAATCAATGCTGAGAAGCGTATTGGATTCAATGCCTATAGAGCAGGGTGAAGGGATCCTGTTAGAGCTGCCCATTCATCTCACAAACTCACTATGGTCCTAGTGCAAAGGTCTGAGTGGAGTGGTGACTTTAAATAGTTGAAACACCCCTTAAGCAACACCCTCCGAAATCCCAACAAGAACAAAAATTATTCAATAAGATTGCAGCCCATATTTTATTCACTTAAAGATCAAGTTTCAAAACCAAAGCCTAGTATGACTGAGAATGAAAAAAAAGGATCATTGTCATCTTTGCAAGTAGTTATACTTGGCCTCGAGGTCAGCGGTGCTCTGGCCAACAGGGCAGCGATTCTATATTTAGGCTGCTACTTGGCAGCCGAACTAGTGTCAAAGGCAGGCACATGTCGTAAGACTGCCAGCAGAGGAACACTGAGAGCAAAGGTGGTCAATTTTTGTCCAGACAGTTTGGAGCCTGTTCAAGCAATGGAAGAAGACTACCTGTCAAATTCCTCTAGGACAGCTGCTGGGATGGGCTATATGTTAAGTGATTTACAATAGATAAGGGACAGTAAAATCATTGGCTGACTATACAATAAACTCAGAGAATAAAGCTAAAAATCCTGCTGCATCAGAAAAAAATGTTTTACCGTTTCAATACAATCTTGTCAAATTCTGGTTCATAACACAGCTGACGACTATGTGCCTCACTCTCAGAATTAGTTGTTTTCGCAATTTCCAGAACAATTGGAAGAAAGGTCATGGCCCTACTATTCCTATAATGATGGTAATATTTGACTTGGCCCCAGGGAAGAATTCTGTGTGACTCATTTTCAAGAGAAAATGCAAGAGGTAGGAAACAAACAACATCACTGCTCTACTTCATCCTCTAACTCGACTGTGTCCTGTGTAACAGACAACTCTTACTCATGTGTACATAAGGTGTGATTTTCATGCACAACAGTGAACTCCCCCTGTGTAAGTGTGTGCAGTGCTTCTCTGTTGGTAAACAATCATATTAAATGCAGCCAGAATGAAAATACTTTACTGATACATGACCTAGATTAAAGTTAGAAGACCTACAGTGTGTCCTTAATTAGCACTACACAACAAATCCTCAAGCTAAAGAAAATAAAAAACAGTTCACTGCACACTTACTTGGTAAATAAAATGATCAATCCATAAATTGGTTGATCTTTTATTTAATCATGTAGTCTAGAAAGAAAAATCCCCATCACAAGCCTAAAATGATGCCTCACATTTGCTTACATTCTGACCACCCAAAAGACCAAAGGAAAAAAAGTCAGTATCAACAAAGAAAAGAAAGAAAGGAAAGCAAAAGACAATCTGCTTTTCTAAACCACAGCCAGCATTGTTTGATATTTTTACTGGAAAAGTTTCTTAAACCATTAATTTAATTTGAACCACTGGCAGATGAAATTTCCTATCAACTAACCACTTATTGACTGATCATTTCAGCACTACTCATACCCAGTGACCCTAATTCAGACTGGGTCCAATCCCAACCTGCAATGATACTCTCCCTGACTCCCACATACCTGCAATGATAATCTCACATGACGCATGCATATGTTCAAGTCACATAGAATTCATAGTAGTTACTGAGGGATACCTTTGTACCCTCAGAGGTGAATGCATTGTTGTGTTTGAAAGACTGAAGTTCTCATATTACTAACAGTCTCACAAGTGAGGTTTGAGATGTGATGCTGATACATGTCCCATGGGCCTGGGTGACCCGGAAAGTGTTAAGAGTAGCCCCAGGAATGGGAATGAATGGACATCAGCATCCATGGTCTTTAAGGAGAGATTTAACCTCGACTGCCGATAATGCAAAAGACTGAGTGGAGAAATAAAGAGCAATTACAGATGGAGAGTAAGTGAAAATGAAGGCACACAGAACCATTTTGACCCTGAGAGCCCATATACGTGGGTGGGTACACAACACAGAAAATACACAAGATAGTCATCGGAGATAAGGCAGCTTCACTGTTTACTACATACGCAAAACAGATAAAAGCATAGCAATGTAAATCTGTGCATCCTACTTGGTGACCACAGCCTTTACCACACAGTTAATGTCTTTGTGCTAATTTACTAGACATTTTACATCCAACATTACTGTCAGCAGATAGTTCTCATCTGTCCGCAGGCATGCTTAGTCAGAAATAAAAACTTTTTGCTACCCTTCAGACCAAACCACCATGAACTTCTCCGCTTCTTGTGGTCGTGATTCATACAGTGACTCACCTATCAGATCATTTAAGTCCAGTTACACAGCCAAAACACAAACAGGAGAGTGTACAGATATTTAGAAGTAAAGCTTTGTCATCTTTAGGCTTAACTGACTAACCTAGTTGTGAACTACTACTGCTGCTGCTGTTTCACAACAAATGTGTTAAAGTTAATGAGATAAAACCACACTCTCGACACAGGAGCGCTCTTTATACTCAACAGCACACACGTTAAACTAGTCCCGATAACTTATTCTGGACGATACCCAGCTGATAAAGTTGTTGCTTACTAAGAGTGTGTTGTTAACTAGTTTACAGGGTTATATATGACTATCACAAACAGGCAACCCGTGTCTTCAACTAACTACAGCAGCTAGAAAGCGCGAGCTACAAGCTAACGTCAATCGAGAAAAGTAACGTTAGTTAGCCAGCTAGCATTAGTTCACCACCGTTAATTTACTTTTACATACCTTTTTCCTGGTTAAAGGATATTATTTCCTCCTCCTTCGGGTTGGAAACTTGGGTTATGATGGACATGTGGTCCATTTAGGCGGGTGGTTATTCCTGTTTCGTTTCCCACAATGTTACTCGTACTAGCGCGCTTGCTCCGTTTGCTAGCTCCTGTTAGCTAGCTGTTCAAGATGAGGATGACCAGCCCACAAAGCCAGACGACCGTCCGAGGAGAGGTGTTGTGGCAGCGGTGGTAGCCAGCCAGCTAGCGCGGTGGTGAATGGAAGCCAGTGAATGGCTGTCATTTATGACTCTCCGCAAAATATCATCGCTGCACACGAGTATTTTGTATTTTTGTGAGCAACAACGACAGCGACTGTGGCTAAGAAAACCTAAAACAACCGACGGTGAATTGCTAACTAGCTGAAGTTAGCAGGTAGCTTGGGTTAGCGAGTTAGCTGAGAGGCTCCGATCATCCGAAATGTGAGGCCGTGTCTGGAACAACGTTGAAAACACCTGGAAGCCCGTCGGAGGGTTGTTCTTATCTAAAAACATGTATCAAACGCAAGTTGTTCAACGTTAAAGTCAGCTAACACTTGTATGCAAACAGTTCATATCTGCTGGCCCTAACGTTACATGCCCTGTGCAACATGGAGGCTTTATGTATTTTGAGTTGCATCTGAAGCGGGGGCACACGGAGTGGGAGGGGGCGGTGTGTGTCTGTGATGGATTCTCTCCGGCAGGCAGCGCAAACTCAGCCGCACTACATTGCTCAACCCCATGCAGCTGGCTGGACGCAGGCTGCCTTTCCTCTGTTATTAATGCTGGGCACACGCAACAAATTATAGCTCTTTATTATTATTATTATTATTATTAGCATCAAATCATGATGCATACAAAACATAATACACTTTGTGTAACTGAATGTGGCGATACCTAGCTAGTGCTTTAACACGCTCCTGAGCAAACAACAGCCCGTCAAACAATCCAAGCAAATAGTTGACGGTAATCCAAAACCCTAAAGTGTGTGTGTGTGTGTGTGTGTGTGTGTGTGTGTGTGTGTGTGTGTGTGTGTGTGCGCGCGTTCCTCAGTGTGTGGATAATTTCAACAGGTCGAGAGCGCCACCTCGTGTCTAATTTAGGGAAATGCTTCGAGGATACCCTGCACTCATAATGTAAAAATACCGTACACGCACAGTGCCTGTATTGGTATTTGATCACATCAGTCTAGTACCGGGCTTGGAGGAGATTTATGGTTTCTAGCCAGATGTCTTTGTTTATTGTGTGTCTGAAGATAGAGAGTGAGGCCACCTGGTATCTACACTATAGGCTGGTAAGATGGTATTTTCTCACTGCTGCTTCTAATTAAGCACTTCAGAAACATGTCACTTTATGATGGGAAACATATGACTGAGAACGATGGAAAATCACCACCTTCCTCGTGTATTGAGCCTGTTCTGATACCACAGAGTAAAGAGGATATGAAGACACTATATATACTTTTTGAGCGTGTGGTATCTCCATATGCCTTCTCCTCAAGCCCAATCAGTCATATTTTTGACTGGAGAATCATCAGAGGTTTGCTGCTGTGTCCCTCGGATAATGTAGTATATGCACATGCTGCTATTGATTGATGCAACTGATTTCCTCCTCGTTTTGAACCATTGTCCCGGAGTGTTTTCTGCGCTCCAGTAAGGTCTGATGGGCTCGTTGTGGACCACCCCTCACTGCGGTGCAGTAGTGAAGGATAAATATATCCCCCTCCACCTCCTCCTCCTTCCGTTGAGTCCGCAACATCCCGACTGGCCGAGGCTGGTGATCGCAGGCAGCGGCAAGCCCCCACAAGACGGATGAATTAGAAAAGCTGCAGTAACCACCGCCACCCCCTTTTCTTTTATTTATTTAGTGAAGAGTCGGTCTGTAAACACTGCTGTCCTCATCTTGACAGTGTGAAGCGGATACAAGGTTAGTAAAAATAAGTCTGTTTTCTTTTTACATAGGGTTAAATATAAGACAAATCAATTCAAAAGGCCTGTGTGTGTGACCGGCTCTGTGTGCATGAAGCAGTGAAACAGTAAACCCTCAATTTGTATGCAGGACGCTTTGCTGGGGTCCTGCTTAGCCATGGTTACACTTTGGCATGGACGGGACTTGTTAGTGCAACTCCTTTAACTTCAACTCCAGAGTGTGCGACATGAGCCTGGCACACACACACACACACACACACACTAACACACCCACGCACACTCAACCAGGTACAAGTGCGTTATTCTCCACTGGAAAGTAAGTCTGTCTGTTTTCTTAACTCCGATGCACCATTCTCGGTCATTCCACTCAGTGCTAATTATTCTGTGAAGTGAGTCCCCAGCGCCCCTCAGATCACATAGCACTGCAGCTGCCCTGCTGTACAGCAGACCAACTGCAAGAGCTATAATAGGAAGGAGAGGTAGGGTTGCGCAGCTGACGATGCTGATTCCGAGGAGCTAGAGCTCTGCAGTCCTATTTAAGTCACTGCCCTGTCGATCCTAAAGGCTTATTAGTAAAATTCCACCTCTTTAAAAAAACACCTCTGTATCTGGCACGAAGAACATGTGCTGATTGGTGTTGGCACAGGGTATATTACTTTAGCCTCAATAATGTTTCTATATGTATGTATTTTTTAGTAGATGCATTATATTGTGATTGCACTTGAAATGGTTGAGTGTTGCCAGGGAATCCACATTCCACTTGATAAACTGTCGATGTATACAAGCTTCAGATTCTTTAATGTGGTGTTGTGCTCTTAGTCCACTCAAGATCTGACTTATTAGTCACATTTGTATGGTACAGCCCACACAGTATTAGCAAATCAAAGCTGTCAAAGATCGCTGTGACACTGAAGTGTCAGATGTGACTAAAAAACATTTTCTTCACAAATGGCATCTAAACATCACCCACAAAACACGGCTTCAATAAACCTTGGTAACCCTTTAAACCATCTGGTTTTACACTATCATCGATTACTGGTGTCAGATGTGGCTGTTTTTTTTCTTCACACTCTGTTTGCCTTCAGTCAGGCCTAATATTGTGTGGCTGATTCCTTTTCAACCTGTTAGGCTTCCAGTGTGCAGATTCAACATGGGGATCAAGGCTGCCCTCCCCAGATATGAGCTGTATCTCTACACAGCTGTACTCGGCGTGGCCTTGATATGGGCAGGCAGTTGGATATTTGAAGCTTCAAGTGGTGAGTGCACAACATGTCAATGAGATGTCCAAAGCACATACAGTACAGAGAGTTGAGAACCAATAACACCATGTTAAAGCATACTAAAGTTCACTTCCATCCATTCATATTTATTGAAGCCGGAGCGAGTGGACACTTTTCGAGCAGCTGCTCCTGAGCCACACCAACTTATGAGTAAAGAAACACTCCAGTCCTAATAAATCTCACCGAACAATCACTTACCATGTAACAATGGCAACAGTTAACTTTAAAAAACAGCACCGCTACCTATAGTACTACTCTATTAAAATTAAAATGAGTAGAACAAAGTTAATTTAGTCCCCCTCCCCTAAGGAATTCCTTCATGTTCCTATTAATATGAAGACAATTTAAAGATGCTCTAATTACGTTTGTAATTATTTTCCTGATGGTGATATTTGAGACTCCCAAACCTTAAATCCTGAAATGCTCCCAAATGTTTCACACAACAAAACACTTAAACTATCATCTCCCACACTGATCTGAATGGACTGAGTGTAATCTGGTGAGTGGTACTGTCTGTCACCGTCTGCACAGTTAGGCCAGAGTTATGTTGTTAGTCATCATTTTGTCCTGATTCTCTTTCTTTAGTACATACTCTCTGACTCTTGAACTGCTCCATCTGTGGGCATTTGTACTGCTCAGGTCTGCATGCTACAGTAGCACTGTACACTTCTAATAGAAGCCTGGCTGTGTTCCCAGAAGTAAGAGGCTTTCCCTGACCGACCCTCACATTTTGATATCCTTTTTCATGGCCATTAGTGTAATCAGGCAAAGCCATAGGAGCTACTGTGGGGCCCCCCTGTCAATCACATTTGTACTGAATGTTTCAACACCACTGCTATTATTATGACTATTATCACACTTGTTCCTATTGTTATTTTCATCATTTCTGTGTTTCATTCAGGGTATGCAGTGAACTAATCTCCTACAACCAGATTATGACTGTATGAGTGTAGATGTCAGCCTCAAAAATAGAAAAGCTTCGCAATGAGTACATTATGTAATATCTGATGTTATCAAATGGACTCAATGCGCACTCACACCTTAAATTCACTGTGAATAATCCAACAATTACAGCAAAGCTGCTCAAATGTTTTACTCCTACATTCTCAGAATTATTATTTTAGCTCACATAGACCCCAAAAATAAAGCTGCCATAAGTCTGGATTTAGCCCTCCTCAACCTAGAAGAATTACCATATATTGCTATGAGTTTTTTTCCCCCTTCATTTTGTTTAGTGAATATCTTGTATGTTTTCTTCTTTATTCAGATAACATAAACAGAAAGGCCTTCAAAGAAAGTGTGAAACCAGGATGGCATTACTTTGGCAGGAAAATGGTAAATTACTCATATATAATCCCAAAGTCATTGTTTTCTGTAATTGGATTTACTGATGCAAGATGTCAAAAGAGAGTGGTTGTCATGTGTTATTAATGCATCCTCCATTTCCACAGGATGTTGCGGACTTCGAATGGATGATGTGGTTCTCTACATTCCGCAATCATATCCTTTTTGCTCTCACTGGTCATGTTATCTTTGCCAAGATATTCACCCTGCTAGCTCCAAAGGTGCGTGCATGTGTGTGAATGTCCATCAGCTAGCACTGATTACATACAGGTAGAATGGCATGTCTTGTATTATCTGTATCTGTATCTGTGTGTTGTATTATATACTGTACCTGTGTGTGTGTGTGTGTGTGTGTGTGTGTGTGTGTGTGTGTGTGTGTGTGTGTGTGTGTGTGTGTGTGTTGGCACTTGTGAATGAACACAAGCGTTTCTCCAGTCATGGCCGTACATGAGTTATTATTATTTATTTGATATGTGATATAAACACATTAAATGCAAAGCCATATTGTGCTGATGTGAACATTTGGGCCTTGGGCTGTACAAGTAACTCAATTCAATGCAATTTTATTCTGTCCTATTCTATTGAGCAAAAATAATTTGTCATCCTGTATATTTGTACCCCAAGGTCTAACATTATTAACTTCATGCACGAGCCTGAGTTGCATTGTGTAAGACTGTGAAACTGTCTGTAGAGTGTGCAAATGATTCTTTGCTGTGAATATGTTGACATTTTTAAAACAGTTCAATATGTTTTAAACATGTTTTCTGTCTTGTTTCATGTTTACAATGAAGATTGGTATAGATGGAAGTAAGGTAACATTAATAAACTTGTCAATTTAATAACATTTGTCATGCGTTTCATTTAAACTATTGATACATGGACAGTAGTTTTGTTTTTTCTTCACAATTTAATCTTTCCATCCTAAAGTATATGGATACAGCAGTGTTATTGTACTAACACCCCTCATGTGTGTTGCATTAAATTATGAATGGTATAAAAATCCTGCCATGATGTCACACTGACACTGGTCACTCTTTACCCACAGCACAGATCCTTGATCTTTGGTGTGTACGGTGGTTTGGCAGTCCTGGTCACGATGGGCTGGACCTTCATGGCTCTGGTTCTGTCTCACTGCATCATACTCTACAGCGTTGCCTTGGTCAAAAGCAAGTGGATGTCCTTTGCAGCTGGCCTGGCCACGCTGGCCTCCATCAAGCTGGAGCCCTATAACTCCTGGCAGGTGAGTGGTTCTATGAATGCTGAGCTATGGGAATTTGAAGAAGATGTCTGTCTTATGGTCTGAACGTTGTGGACCAGGAGAGGGAGAAGTCATTTTTTAATATTTGAGAACTGATGTTCTATAGTTCAACTGGATGAGCTGAAGGCATTGCATGGCTCCTACAGGAAGACCAGTGAAAAGGATAATGCAGTACAATTAAACAGGATAATAGTCAGCACTTTCAAAATAAAATCAAAATGGGAAAAAATCCAGAGAGCTTTAAATAACGATGAACTTTTGGTAAACAAATGCATTAAAGTAGCCTGAAGGTGAGAAGGTAGGACTTTACTGATTGCCATGTGGAGAGATTCACATGTTACAACACAAGAGACACAAAGAGGTTAGAAAACATAGAGAACTACTAAAATAATACCATGATATACTCTAGTATGTAACATAAGAACACAATAATGATAATATAAGTGGTAATGTAGTAGTATTATATAGTGATATAGTAGTAAAGAAGTAATATAATTGTAATGTAGTGTTAGATATGCTCCTACTACTTCTTCTACTACTCCTGTTGTAATAATAATTATAACAATAGTAATATATAGGGGGTTCAAGAGTGAAGCCAAATACTTGATAGTCTGGAAGTATCACTCATATTAAAAATTATGATGTCTGAACCTTCAGGAATCCTTGGTGACGGGATCTTTTGACCTGCAAGACATCCTGTTCTATGGAGGCTGCGGCTTCAGCATCATGCGCTGTATGAGCTTTGCATTAGAGAACTGTGAGAAGAAGGATGGCAACTACACATTCTGTGACCTGCTGAGATACAACTTCTACCTCCCCTTCTTCTTCTTTGGACCTATCATGACGTTCGACAGGTATTATGCCCAGGTGAGGATTTAAGAGGGAAGATTTCTGAAGACTTCCTTTCAAGAAGGAAAATTGAGTGAAAGTGAAAAGTGAGCAGCCGTCTGAAATTTGAGAGCAGTTATTAAGACATCACTCATGAGTGCACAATAAACTAGAAGACTGCTGAAGGCTTGAGCTGCACTCACATATAATACCATGTCTTTGAATAACTCAATTTAAGAGCCATGGGTAGAGACAGAAGACAAAGACTAAAGAGATTAAAAATCCAAGTATTTCTACTGTTACAGCGTGAGGAATAATCACTGACTGTGTCCAGACAATATCTCTCCAACTAATGTATATGATATGCTAGGTTTGTCTTATAGTTCTACAAAAAAAGATTGCTTGTTCACAAAACGGAATGCTTTTAATTCCACAGGCGAATAACACCCAGTTGACCCGCAAGGAAAGGGAGATGTGGAACATCACCACCAAGGCCTTGTTGCATCTGGGAGTTATTCTGGTGGTGGACATGTTCTTCCACTACCTCTACATCCTGACAATCCCCAGTGACATGAAGCTGGTCACCAAGCTTTCTGACTGGTGTCTGGGTGAGTTATGCTTTCAGACTCTTTTCATGTGGCTGTGGTCATTATGACTAGCTCATATTTACTAAAGGGATGATATCTAATATTGGCTCTATGCATCACTTTTACTCCACACATTATGTGCTTTTTTCAAATGTGAAAATGTACTTCTTTAGTTTATTAGTGTTTTATATGTGTTAATGTTTCTCAACAACTACCATCAACTTGCTTTGTTTTCCTGTGTACCATTGTAGCTGGTCTGGCTTATTCCAACCTGGTGTATGACTGGGTGAAAGCAGCTGTGATGTTTGGTGTCATCAACACTGTGGCTACACTGGACCACCTGGACCCTCCTCAGCCTCCCAAGTGTATCACCATGCTCTACGTCTTCGCTGAGACGTATGTGTAACTCGCACTAGCTGTGTGAAATCAAACCTCTGTGTAGTGTCTTTGTTGACCATGCAGAACATTGAAATTGTGTAAAAATGTTCACATAGAAAATGTCTGTCTTTTGTAGGCACTTTGACAGAGGCATCAATGACTGGCTGTGCAAGTGAGTGAATTTGAAATCATGTGTTTAAATGACAGAACCTACAGCACATAGAAGACGTTTTTGATTCTTCAACTTGAGTTGTTATTTTGCAGGTATGTTTATGACTATATTGGTGGCGATCACGATAAAATCTTCAAGGAGCTCCTGGCAACCTTCTGCACCTTCGCTATCACCACCCTGTGGCTGGGCCCATGTGAGCTGGTGTATATCTGGTCCTTTTTCAACTGCTTTGGCCTCAACTTTGAACTGTGGGTGGCCAAGTTCTTCTCCCTTCCGCCATTTTCTACCATAGAGGTGAGAAACATTGAGATAAATATCACCCTCCTTTAACTGTTTTGACTTATCTTTTAACCTATTTTGCTATGTGCAATTTTTTTCCCATTTTTCAGGGTGCAATGGGTGAAGCCATGTCACGCAGGATCCGGGGTGTGTTCAACGCTGCCAACTTCTGGACCATTGTCCTCTACAATGTTCTCTCCCTGAACAGTTTGGAGTTTGCCAAACTAGTGGGAAGACGACTGATTTCCAAAGGTAGGAAACAACAAGGGTATATTACATAAAATTAAACTTTAAGGCTTTCCTGTCAGTTCTAATAAAAGCGAGAGTGATACAGACAGACATCAAAAGCAACAGAACCTCAAGGGGCACCATCCTCCAGATATCACAAGACTTAACATCCTCCTGTTGCCTTCCTTCACATAGAATAAAAGAATCTTAACAACAGAGCATTGGGGGATGATCTCGAACATCTACGCAGGGCACAGCACAATGACAGCTGCATTCCTTTAAAGTCATACTTTTCTCTTCTCATTTATTTTCCTTTTCCCCTTTCACTTCCTCTCGCTTTCCCTCTTTGTGTTTTTCTTCCAGGTTTTCCCCTGTCCACCCTCTCAGTGTTACTTGTAACCTACTGTGGTGTGCAGTTGGTAAAGGAAAGGGAGAGACAACAAGCCCTGCTGGAGGATCCAGAGCCAGTGAAGCCAGTAGATGGTGGCAAAGAAAAAGCAGAATAAACAGACAGGAAAAACTGACTTTCACAGACTTCATGGTCAACAGCCCCCTCATATTGTTCCATTCTCGGCCTTGCAAACTGCACCGAACTAGACTGTAACAGCCAGTCAGCACTTATATTGTTCACAAGCCTGTGTTTTTGCTTGGGTTTGTCAGAAGCGAGGCAATGTTTTGAACTGTGAAATATCCTCAAGTGCTCTTGCTGTAGATAATCGCCACATCCTTTGGCACAAATCCACCGATGGTGCATTTTGTATTGGTATTTTATCTGAACTTAAGATTGTTTAGCAAATGATAGGGCTGCCAAATATTTTAAGAGGCTACACCTTATATAATATATATGGACATACAGTATTTTAAAGGAAAAGCTACATTGCTCTGTGTGGTTGTCTCCTGGGTTCATTTTTGATTTTTCTCAGATCTGCACTTCTTCTTTTTTTTTAATCATAGACAGTGATTATTTTTAGTTATATGGGGTCTTAACTCTGCCATAGATGTTAGATCTTAATCATCATAATGTTTAATCATACTGAAAGGGTTAAAAACTTGAAATCAGAGTGTAATGAAGAAAAATAAACAAAGGGTGCTGTGGAGGTCCTCCACATAGCTAGGATTTAAATGTAATGTATATTTTCTCTACTGTCACTAAGCAATTATACATCACAATGTTTAGGATAGTCTATTGTTCATTGAGAATGTATTAGATGTTGAAAAGATTGAATGTAGTTCAACCGTCCAGAGAACGACAGCTTTACTCCACCACCATATCGTCTACAAGAGATTACTGTAGGTCTGACATTTTGGCATATCTCCCCCCCGCCCTATTTCACATGATCCAGACCCTCAGTTCGCTATGAAAGGCAAGGCAGGGAATATGGGTCAGTCTTGTCCTGCCTGTCACCAAAACCTGCTGTGTGTCTTCAGTACAGCAGGCACTGAGAGTTTATGCAGATTGTAATGCCTTGTCTCATTGTAGGCTTTTTATTTAAAGGTGTTCATTTCAAAAGTTTAACGTGAAATTAAGTTTTATTTCATCCAAGAGCAACACAAGTATGGCTATGAGTTTGTTTTGTTGCAGTACGGAGAGGGGATTAAAATGGATGTATTATTGTTTGCTTGGATGGATAATCACGTTCTGCATTAAAACATTTTGACAATTTCATTTTGTTTAAATCAATGGAAATGCTTAAACAAGTTAATAAAGACTGTGTTCGTCATCGCCACAAGATGGCCCAGTTTGACCAAAGCTGATCAGTGACTGTAAATAACACATGCACGATGACTACTGTATGAATGGAAAAAAAACTCTACAAACACATGGTTTGCTCACACAGATGTTTTCAATTACTTTCCCTGATTAGACCTTTTCTAAGGACTGTGTGTGTGTGTGTGTGTGTGTGTGTGTGTGTGTGTGTGTGTGTGTGTGTGTGTGTGTGTGTGTGTGTGTCTGTGTGTCTGTGTGTCTGCGTGTCTGTGTGTCTGTCTGTGTGTGTATACATAGTCTGAACTTGACTGATATCTCTCTCACTCTCCACTCAGGTGGAACAGACCAGAGGCCTGTTTCACAAAGGGCATGTCACAGTAGGAAAAGCACAGGTGTAAATAATGAAATGAATGATGGCTGAATTCCATTTAGCTGCTTCAGTTTCAAGGTCCTGGTATTTTGCATGCTGGCTCACTGTCACACTGTCACAGCTTACTGAGACACTTGAATAGAACAGAGACATCTTTAATGTAATTTGTAACACCTGTGCTTTTTCATCTATGGCAAGTGAAAATGTCAGACCTTTTTCACAGCAGCCATTCTGACATGAAATAGTAGGGTAAATACAAATGTTACTAATGATAGTAATTAAGGTTCTGTTCCATTTAGTGTAGCAGAACCTTTCCAGTGAGCCAACATGCACAATACTACCCTGACTCTGTTTGACCTGAATGGAATCATAGTTGAGAAAATAAGTTGTGTTTCAACTGTTAAAAAAAAGTGTAGGTATTGGTGGTGTGGTAAGTATTGTTTGATGGGTGTAATAAGTTAGAGTTTGTTGTGTTATTGAAGGAAATGCACAACTGGAATGAATAACATTAAAGCTGCATTAGGTAATTTTTATAAAAAATAACTTTTTGTCATATTTGCGGAAATCTTCACTATATCCTCACAGTAGTACATGAGACAGATAATCTGTTAAAAAAAATCTGGTTCCTCTGGCTCCTCTTAGTGCTCCTCTGAAGGACTTTGTAAAAAACCACCAGACCTGGATAAAAACAACCATTCGGTGCTGAGAAAGATATAAAGACGCTTTGGGTTGGAAACTTGAAGTTAGTTGATTGTTGAGTCTTATTCCCAATGTCCCAAAGCGTCTGTATAAACGTTACCTACTGCAGCTTTAATTATGGTCTGCATTATAATGTATTGATATATTGGTACTGCCACAGCTAAATGGTGCAGGGCCCTAATTAATGTTATCAGTTTCACCTGTGCTTTTCCTGCTATGGCAAGTCAAAATCCCTTCTGAGAAAGCTCTGAAGGTTTGTTCTATGTTTATAACACGGGTGTCCCTAACAGCTGACACTCTCTTTATACCCGTATTGTTCCTTTAGTAGTTCACCAAAAAAGGTTCTCTTACAAAATCCATAATAATCAATAAAAGCTTCATAAGCAAATGATTCAGAAAATATGACTCAAACTATTTTCAAATGTTTTAAAGAACAGTCAAATTTCAAAACAGAAAAAATATAAAAACATAGAAGTATAAAAATAGATTTAATAAATCATCCTTCATTTCATAGATTCCATGGATACAAATCATTTGAAATTATTCTGATCATGGGTTTGTTAAATGAACTTCATTGAATTCATGTGGTATCATCTTAATTCAAATTATGTCATTTTTTTCCTGTCACCTCCCTCCAGCTGAACAATTAAATTTTACCATAAACTTACAATTGCAAAAGCCTTTACAAAGAGTTTGGCCACAGGTGATGTTTCTCCTCACCTGATACCACTCTTATGTTTCCACACTATATGTGACTTCTTTTTGACATTGTCATTTTCAGCCAATAGGTGCCAGTGTTGTTTATCACTCTGGATGTACCTCTGGATTGAATGATTAAAAGTGGTAACACGTATTACACATACATAGTATCATGTACGCATGCATTATAATCTTCATTAATTACATTTGTAATAAATGATGACAGCAATTTGACTTGTTATGTGAAATATGATTAATTTGCTAATTAACCATTTTATATGAACCTGGTTATACAATTAATGTATAATTCAGTTCCTGATTTCTTTAATTACACGTGTTGGAACTGAAATTATCGTAAATTCTTATGTTTTATTACAAAAATGTAATGGGGAGTCTCTGGGGATTTAAAGGGAAGGGACATTTTAGTGCATCACCTGTTAAATAATAACTAGAAGCATCTGTGTCAAGTAATGTGGTCCATATAGTGTGTCACTTGGTGTGTTTGTAACCTGGGGAAGATTTATAGGGACACTATGCATAAACAATATCTTTCAGTGTTTTGTTGTTCTCTAAAACTTGAGTTTGTCCTCATTTCTGGTGTCAGGGGAGGTTTATTATATAACATTTACAGCTCAGTGTCAGCGTGTATTTACTTCCACTGTTTAAGTCAATGTTGAATCACAGAGACAAAAACAACATGGAAAAGTGTGTCAAGATTTCAGAGTTAAAAAAGCCTGTGAGGCTGCCTAGTGAGTTGTTCTGCTGGATTTAACATGCTGTCACCCCCGAGCTTAGTCATTCAGCTGTTTGTGGGGGTCTGACGCAGGAGTGGATAGGTCCTCTTCCCTGTCCACCAAAATGGATTCCTCAGCTTTGTGAGGGTCCTGTCTATAAATACCTCTGACTTACAGAGTGACTGACAGCCAAGGACAGCTGCAGCCACCAGCCAACCAACCCGTGGAGACCATTCACAGCAATCTGAGCAGCCCCGTGAACGCTGACAGTCCTGCTCTGTTGTGGGGAGTAAGTAGGGTGTCCACGAAACCCAACCGGGACAAGGAGACCGAACAAAATGGCTGCCATGACCATAGATCCGGTGGAGCAGCCTCGGATGTACCAACAGACTTTGCTTCAGGACGGACTGTGTGACCTCTTAGAGAATGACAAGTTTGTGGACTGCATCCTCAAAATTCAGGACAAGGAGTTCCCATGCCACCGCTTGGTTTTGGCAGCCAGTAGCCCTTTCTTCAAGGCCATGTTCCTGTCTGACCTGGAGGAAAGCAAGAAACGTGAGATTGTCCTCAAAGATGTGGAGCCAGGTGTTATGGGGATGATCCTGCGCTACTTATACACCTCTGACATTAACCTGACAGAACAGAATGTCCAGGATATCTTCATGGTTGCTAACATGTACCAGATCCCCTCCATCTTCTCTGTATGTGTGTCCTACCTCCAAGAGAAGCTGGTGCTGGGAAACTGCTTGGCTATTTTCAGGCTAGGACTGCTGCTGGATTGTCCCAGGCTTGCTCTCACTGCCAGGGAGTTCATCTGTGAACGCTACCAGGTTGTTGTCAGGGACCAGGACTTCCTGCAGCTGGGCCCGAGCGAGCTGGCCATCATCATCACCTCAGATGGTCTCAACGTTGAGAGGGAGGAACTGGTGTTTGAATCCCTGATGGACTGGGTCAGACATGATGAGACACAACGCGTTAAGGACCTGCCAGAGCTGTTGCATTGCGTCCGTTTCAGGCTCATACCTTTGGATTATTTCAAAGAGAAAGTAGAGCGTCACCAGTTCCTCCGCTTCAGTCAGGATATCAAGAAGGACCTGGAACTCGTCAAGGATGCTTACAAGGGGCGTCTCCCAAAGCCTAGGAAGCCCAGTAAGGACGAGGCAAAGGGCGGGGAAGGAAGTGAGGAGGAGGACGACGATGATGAAGAGGAAGGGTACCTGCCGGGTATACTCAACAACAACCCTCGTTTTGGGATGTTTGAGATGGACCTGATGCTTATGATCAGCGACACAGGGACTGTGGCCTATGACCCGGTAGGAAATGAATGCTTTGTGGTCTCAGAGTCTACAGAAATTCCCAAAAACCACTGCAGCCTGGTGACCAATCAGAACCAAGTGTTTGTCATTGGAGGACTTATCTACAACGAGGAGGACAAAGATGAACCATTCAGCTCTTACTTCCTACAGGTAGTGCATGAGTCACGAAGACCATAAAAACATACCACTTTTCTTGTAAAACACTAATAATGCTCTAAAACTGAATCCATGTGTCTCTCATTCCTCTCATTCCTTACATATGATTGTTCTCATCCCCAGTTTGACCCAGTAAGTTCAGAATGGTTAGGGATGCCTTCACAATCCAACCCTCGCTGTCTGTTTGGCCTGACCGAAGCTGAAAACTCCATCTTTGTTGTTGGAGGAAAGGAACTGAAGGAAGGTGAACACGCCCTGGACTCAGTCATGATCTATGACAGACAGTAAGTGGATACTAAATTTAATATGGAACTTTACTAATGATTGTATCCATTAACTCACTCTCCTATTGTTTACTAAGCAAACCTTTAGTGTATTCAAATACAATAATTTCCATTAAGTGTGAAACAACATCACTCTCATAGTCACATTAAAGGCAATATATTTCCAGATACAGCAACTGATTTAATATTTCTACATGAAAGAGTATCCCATCACTGTCTTGTGACAGTGCATATTTCTGCTAATTCATTTGGGTTTTTATTTTTTGGTTTATTTAGTATAGATAAATTGAATTTTCATGAATGAGTCAGTAGATTCACCTTTATCATATATATGTTATGTTAAACAGAGGAACCCACAAGCAGAATACAAACTCGGTTACAATTACCAGAGACAGGCTTTATTGAGAACCAGGGAATTAAATGGTGATGTGAAGCGCCTGCTGGCAGTGGTGAGAGGATATGGCTGAGACCCAGGCAGAGTGGAATTGAAGATGGAGGCAGCGTTGCAGTTAGGAAGGAGCCGGCAGGTAGCTGAAGTGAAGGTGATGATCCTGAGGCACGGGAAAAAACAAGGTTGAAGTTCACAGCACAAACAGGAAAAACTTCTCTTAAAGTTCTCTAACTGGGGCGCCCGGATAGCTCAGTGGGTAGAGCTAGCGACCCCTGTCCTTGCTGCAACGGCCCAGGGTTCAAATCCGACCTGCGGCCCTTTGCTGCGGGTCATCCCCTCTCTCTGTCCCCCTTTCCTGTCTATCTCCAGCTGTCTCTATAATAAAGGCAATAAAAGCCCCAAAAATATACTTAAAACAAAGTTAAAAGTATAAAAAAAAGTTCTCTAACTGGCCAAGAATGTTACTACCAGGCTTGCAGAGAGTGGATGAGAACCAGGGTTTATATACTGCAGGACTGATGAGTTGATTACTGGCAGGTTTGGGCAGTCAGACATGTAAGCAGGCAATCAGGGAGAGTGGGAGGAGTCCAAACACACACAGAGAGAGACAGAGAAAACCAGGGAGGAGAAAACTCCAGCAACTACTGACTATAACACTATAAGATCAATTCATGATGAAATGTCCTTTTTTTTGTACACAGGTCATTCAAATGGGGAGAGTCTGACCCTCTGCCATATGAAGTGTATGGCCATGGAACCGTATCACACAAAGGTCTTGTGTATGTCATTGGAGGAAAGTCTGAAAGCAAGTACGTGGCACTCCAAATAATCAAACCTGTATGATATTTTATATTTTATATTTGATTACACCACAGAATTGTACCTTCATACTGGGGGCCCATTTAGATTATTGGACATTCCTCTGTCAATACCTGTGTAGTATAAATTATACAGTGTACACCATTATATTACCAACCAAAACCTTGAAATCGTCCTCCACTCACAAATATGTTATTCCTCTCATTCGTACAGTGTGATGTTTAATCTTCACTGTGCAGAATGCTGTCTGTGCAGAGTTTGACAAAAGAAAGTGCTGAAAGTGGAAAGTTTGTCTGTTTTTAAACAGATTTTAAGGCGCGGGGCTTACAAGCATGATTTGTGACATCACAATTAGTTCAGTATGCAATTTCTACAAGTGTGATGTAGAAACTTGAAGTCACCAGTGCACATCCACTGAGAATGAACGGTACAATGTAATGTACAGTGAAGTAGGAGACATCTTGTGTCCAGCAGGAAAAAAGACAAAAGAGTAGATGTCATTTAGGGATTTTTATGTGGAAATTATACTTTCCATAGGCCAAGATGTCCTGAGACAAGTTCCATAAACACTGGATCCTACTATACTTCCCATAATGTAGCACAACAGAATCTTTCATTAGCCCCTCCCTGCCTCCTTAATTCTCCCTTCTTTTAAACTCCACATGTCCAGTTTGTAATGCTTTCAGTTAAGAAATTCTCAAAAGTCTCAAGTATAAGCCAACCATGATGACATCATTATACAAACATCAAACTTTATACAACTGTGAGTACAGGCTGAGTGCTACTCCTTGTGACAAGTAAACCAAACTTTTGTTTTATGTAGGAAATGCATGAGAAGAGTCTCTGTCTACAACCCCACTAAGTTTGAGTGGAAGGACCTGGCTCCTCTGAAGACAGCCCGCTCCCTGTTTGGTATCACAGTCCACAAAGACCAGATCTACGCTGTGACGGGGGTCACAGACGCAGGCCTCACCAGCTCTGTGGAGGTCTACGATATTGCCACCAACAAGTGAGACAACTGCTTTTTTTATATGATCCACTTTATCTCATCGTTATGAGGCGAAGCATCTGTCCACAGTAGTGAAATGACTCACTGAGCGTGAATGGCAGATCATTAGGTCATAAAATAGCACTCTGTGCACTGCTGTGGGTATCATACAGTAATATAGCAGCTTATTTATCACTTCATTGTGTTTGTGTGTGTGTGTGTGTGTGTGTGTGTGTGTGTGTGTGTGTGTGTGTGTGTGTGTGTGTGTGTTATTGTCCTGTTGTGCTCCAGGTGGTCTGAATTCACAGAGTTCCCTCAGGAGCGCAGCTCTCTCAATCTGGTCTCGATGGGAGACTTCTTATATGCTTTGGGGGGCTTTGCCATGATGCCCAGTGAAACCAGTGAGGAGCCCGTCCCAACAGAGATGACTGACATCTGGAGGTCAGAGCGCCCTTCATTCACTCAATACGCATGATGAGTCATTATAATGTGATCACAGGGACTGAAATACAAAAGAACAACCCCAACCATTTTCTCTGTTTATTTGTATTGTTTATTATTGTTAGTGTGTGGGGAATAAGATTACATCCTCAAATATTGAAACCCTCATAAATGGGACTGAACTGTCATTATTAATGAGCTTTTCCTGCTATGACAAGTCAGAATGTATGCCATGAAAGTTTGATTTCTATACATATATACATAAAACAAAAGAAATTAACTTCCTATACTATACTACCTTTTCCCCCTATATTATTATCATTGGAGCAACACCAAAAACTCCCTGTCATGTCATTCTCTGTGAATGAAAGGCATTGAGATTGCATTTCTTATTACTGTGTTCTATCTTATGCCACTATAAGAGCACCATACACTAACATATTTATGTTTCCCACAGATATGATGAGTCAGAGAAGTGCTGGAATGGGATTTTGCGGGAGATAAGCTATGCGGAGGGAGCCACTATTCTTCCAGTGCGTCTCAACACTCTGCGTCTCACCAAGTTATAACTGACATGAACTGTTGGTGCTATGAGCTTAATGATGTAACATTAGCATTGATGTAAATGAGTGCACTCATTATGGACACAGGCCCAAAATTAGCTTAGGGTACGGGATGTTTCAAGGGTAACAACTGACTTTGGTCTCTGAAGATGATAACGGGTTAAGAAAATAAGCAACAAATTGTTTTATCTCATGTTACCAGCAGGGGGAGACACATGCATGTCTAAGGAAAGGTGAACAACATGAGTCAAATGTATTTTATAAAAAGCTAAAATGTTGATTTGTACATCTGTTTTTTGTTATATTATTTCATGAATTTTCTTTATTACCAGTTTGCTTTATTTAAAGCACAAATAAAGATAAGGGTGGATTGAATTGCTTTAACTGACTCCGTCTCACTTTTAGTGACAACACAAGACCTGTCCACAGTGCAAATGGTTTTATTCAGTCTGACATTTTGTTCAATAACATCTTTACAGATGATTCCACATACTGTACAGGATAACATATTTACACACACTTTACAACAAATAAGAGACACTTTACTGACATCATGCAAACAGCATGAGTGAGGAATGCACAGTTTTAAATGTAAACATCAATTTCCAGTTGACACCTGAGCACTATAAATCATCACCACGAAAAACACATTATAAGCCAGTTCTTTAGCCGTATATATACAGTTTCACATTATATACAACAGCTGTGTGTGATATTTAGCCTGAGGTACTTTCAGTTAGTTTCAGTTTCAGGTTTACACACACTGGTACAACAAGAAGGGGAACTAACTAACTAACTAACTCCAACATGTTTCCCCTTAATGAAATGTGACACTGTCACTGCCTGTTCATATTAACGTCTGAAAATGTCTTTTTTTAGCAGGAGGTGGCTTCAAATAAATGTTTGAAAACATTATTAAACACACACACACAAAGAGGGAGAGAGAGAGAGAGAGAGAGAGAGAGAGAGAGAGAGAGAGAGAGAGAGTGACAACCATCATGCATGGTGTCATATAGCTTGATAAACTCTATTACATCAAGATTATATGATGTTTAGAAGGTGTTAGCATGCTAACATGTGTTAGTTAGCACTAAATACAAAGTACAGCTGAGGCTGATGGGAATGTCATTAGTTTTGTAGTTATTTAGTCAAATCAAAGTATCGGACAAATTGACATTTTTACTTGACGATGTCTCTAAATGAAAAGTAAAACCATAATTATTACAGTTCATCTGGGTTTGGAACATGAATGTCTGAAACACATTTCACAGCAATTAATTCAAAAGTTGATGAGACATTTCCCTTGAAACCACAATTTTAAACCTTACACTGGTGCTAGCGGTACAGTCAGGGGATTACCAAAGTCATTACAATTCATCTAAAAGGAATAATGAATGTCTGTAAAACATATTGTCCCAATCCATCTTGTAGATGATGACATATTTCATTAGATATAATTGGAAACTTTGACCTGCTGGTGGAGCTAGATAAAAAGTGGAGGAGGATCATCAAAGTCATTAAGATTCACCCATGAATATTTGTACAAAATGTCATGGCAATCTCTCCATACAGTTGTCGAGATACTTCAGACTGGACCAAAGTGGTGTGCTGACAATGCACAGAGCCATGCCGCTAGTGGCTAAAAACAGTAGGATGCAATAACATATTCATTTAATATCTAAATATAGAATAGAATAGAATAAAAAAATAACAATCAATGCAATGACATGACTTGTCCATGCAATCCAGTTAATGGAAGTTAATCACTGTTGCCACATGTTTATTCACAATGTTGTGTATTATGGACTAATAAAGGAATGCATCTGGTCCATTAGTTGCAGAAATAGTAAAAATGAACCGAGTACGCACTCAGGAAAACTAAAAGCCTCTGTAATCTCAGATAAATTTCACAAGCGGGAGCTTTTGTGTCTCCTCTGGAATGTTATCCGGCAGTAATTCAGCAGAGTGTATGCCCCGTATAAAACTGTCATAGACAGGATAGTAGACAGGATAGGAACGTCCAGCATGTTGGTTATGCTATAGATTCCTCCTCAGTGACCACTGTTCATGGCAGACTGACAATGTCATTAATGTTGTTACCATCAGTTCCCTAAGCAACATGAGCCATTAAGTTAAGTGCTTGGAGTCCTCTTGTGTAACACACCCTTTTAATAAACATCTTGCTACTTATAGGACACAGCTCATCTCTGGCTCTATCCATCTATTGCTTAACATCTGATGGAAAACACTGGCCAAGAGCTCCATTTCACTTTAATTCACATAGTGGTCACAAAGATCTCTGTCCTCCCTGCAGATTTCTGTAGTGCGTTACTTATAAAATACTTTGTTAATTTTATTTTCAACAAATCAGTTGTCAGTTCATGTTTACTCATCATGTGATCTGAACAAAGTCTTACAGTGTAGCAGGAACTAAACCGTTTGCCTATAATATCCGTGTGACACTGGCCGTTATACACACGAACGTCAGATCAGTCAGTGTGGTCAACCTCCAATACAATGGAAGTTCCTCACTGATCAAAGCTCCATTGGAACAGTCTGTGAAAATGGCCATTTCAATTCCTCTTGTTAAGTTAATGTAACTTATTTACTAAACAGGTGATGTGTTCTGTAGGTGGTTTCAGTTGCCTTTCCACCCTAGCAAGAAAACACTGCATATCAATTACACTGCAACAGTGCACGCATTCAGCACATAATGATAAAAACAAAGAGGTGAGTTCACTTTTAGATGGGTTTCAGATGGCAGAGAGGTGCTCCTGACACTCAGATGCCCGGCGTGTTGTGGGGCTGCATTTGGTCAACATGGTGATCTGGGTGCTGAAGTTGTTGCCGTTGGAGGGCTGCTGGTACTTTGTGTCAGCCCCCAGGAACCTCTGCAGCATCCATCTGCGCCACTTACGCTTAATCTCCGCCTGCACCTGAGGGAGAGGAGAGGAGGTTGACAAACAGGATGAAGACAGGGCGTTAAGAGGGTGGAGAGGGGAAGAAAAATTACATTTGGTGATGTAAAAAGGACATCAAACATCTTAAAGAGCTGTTTTTGTTTGAATTTACTTACCTCTCCATTCAGAAAGCAGTACAAAACAGCAACAACGAAACCCTGAAGAAGAGAGAGAAGCGGATAAAACGTACTGCCCAATAAGAGCTGTTGTTGAAAAGACATACCAGTGTGATAGTACAGCTGGGGAAACACTCAAAATGTTTGTGTATGAATAATGATGGTAAGATGATGACCAACTTCAGGCTCAGACAGGAGGTTCATTATTTACATCTCTGGGAATTTTTCCCAGGAGATATCATTCTGAGCTTAAAACAGTTATAAATTCAGAATACTTTCCATTGCTAGGTTTCCATCATTACACTTGGCTCTCAGCTCTCACATTCAATTTAATACTCAGTAAATCAGCAACCTCATTATTCAAGCATACACAATTAAACATGTCAGCTAAATAAACCATTCATTTGCTTAATCAGACAAACTGTCTTCCTGTTACCAAACTTTTTTTATGTAACTTTACTGAATAAAGTAACGTCTGCTTTCTATCTGGTGATTTGTGGCACACATCTTTCCCAACACAACACGGCGAGCATGTCGTCGTCAAAATTAGATACATTAAATCCCTAATTCATCAATATGTAGTGCTGCTTCTGTCTGACGTTTGAAAAGTTGTAATGTTGTAATGTGACACCTGTTATGGACGTTACCTGAAATGACCCCAGAATAAGATCGAACACCATCCTCACTTGTGGGTGGATGTGGTCAGGGATGAAGGCAAAAATAATGTAGTTTATGCCAAAGAGAGGTATCAGCAGCAGAGTGGATTTAGCCAGTCTCCTAAAAAAAAAAAGGTATAAAAATGAGTTCACCCCACGAAAGCTAGAGTCAAGGCTATACTTGTCACAAAGCAAAATCTATTAATGCTCACCACTAACAACATCATGGCTGAAAAATTATTTACTCATTGTCACCTTATGAAAACTCATGCTATGATAGAGATTTTGACATTCTGCACTGAAAACCTTACGAGTACTGATTGGATTCCTTTCTTCCGATGTCGGGGCAATTCATCTTCTGTCGCAAAATCCGGATTATACAGATGAAGAGGAAAAAGTTCCCCTGCCGGGAGAGTAAAAAAAAATGGTTAATGTGATTGCATTAAGCAGAGCCGCACATAAAATACTATGAAGAGGAGTCGTGACTCACAAGAATGGTGACTAAAATAGGTGTTTTGATGATCCACCATGGTTTATCATCAATTATCTCCCAGCATCTATCAGAAGAGAGTTACAAACGCACAAAAACAAAAGTTACAAAAAAAGATTAAACAAGCCCTTGTTGTTGCAAAGGCAGAGAGGATTAACTACAGGAACAGATGGGGAAACAAGATTAGAAGTTTTGTGACTTAAACTTAAAGAATTACCTGAAAAAATCTGATCCTAAAATCTACCTTTGGACAATCTAAAGAAAATGTGTTTTTTTTAGCTTCCTTGTCTATTTGAACTATTGATCTAGTATAATAAAGAAATCTACAGTTTAATATCTTCACATGACTTCAAAGTCGTTCAGGCTGTGGTGCTAACCCACACTGCTTACCTAAGCTAGATAGCTTTTAGCAGGCCTGGTGTTTTATTCCTCCATCCTGATGGTGTTTAGCAACTGCCTCATTAATGTGGAATACCATGCTGACTTACTAACTTGTCAGATAATCAAAACAAATGTTTCAATTACAGGAAACAGGTAGGAAAACATAGATAATCTTAGCTGGGTGGAGCTGTGTCTGTCTCACACATGCTAACTTAAACTTAACATAGCATTGCTTTAGCTGCATGGTAGGTGGAAGCCAGATTTTTTTTTAAAAACACATTTCAAAAAGTTTGGATTTAACTCATTTTGAACAAATATGTAGTTAATAGGTTTTGGCTTTGTAGGGTAGTGTAGTCATGAAACGCCCAGCTTTTGTCTTTGTGTAATGCAGATTAACAGTTCACCACAGACATCCTCTGAGACCAGCTATTAATCCCCACACTAACCTAAATGTTATTTTTTTGAGTGTGTAAATGTCATTGGACTCATTTTAAATCAGCTGAACTGATAAGTTACTTTAATCAACAAGATTAAAACAGAGACAAATGTTTTACTCACCCAGGATCATGTGAATAAGCCTTTGTAATCACCCACACTGAGATAAAGATGGTTGGAGCCCCTGCAAACATAAACAGAATTTGTTGCAATTCAACATTAAAATAATCTCCATGTCACAGAGAGAAACTATTAATTATGTCCACGGTTCAAACAAACACCACACTGACTCAACACCACCAAATATGACAGTGAGCCTTGAGCGTGTACACACTGTTAATCTTTTGGATGATTTTATTGCTAAAGTAATATTGCATTTTGGGTATGCTTATCATTTTTAACTGGACTCATATGTGCTCTGTGCCAATATTGGCCCATCCTGGGTATCTGCAGGAAAGTCACAGGCTTGTTTCCATTTTTGGGGAATGGTTGCTGAATATACATTTCAAAGGCACTGGATTTTAAGACCATAATAAGTGTTCGGAAGGATGAAAATGTAGGGAGAAATGTTTTTAAGATGAAAGCTCTTAAAGGCTTGAGTTAGTACTTCTGGGTGAATATACTGGGTGTATATTTTGATATCTTCCAATGAAGCGTCCTTGCTGCCAAATGTATCTATCCATTAGCAATATCATCATGTATTTCAAGTCTAAATTAATTTTATTCACTTGTTATGTCTGCCATAGAAGCCTGAATTCATTAAATGAGCTATTCCAAGAGCATCAAAAGCAAGACTCTTGGACTCAATTATAACAACAACAGCAGAGTGGCAGCTGCCTGCTGCTGCTAATCTAAGACTGCCAGTAAGACTCATTCATATGCAGGGGGAAGGTGCAGTATTTTACTGTGCATGTACTTCACTTCACTTAAAAATTCATTTACATACGATCCTGTAGGTGGTGGCTGTTGATGTAAAGACAAAACAGACCTTCAAGTAGCCTGGTGAATGTGACTTGATGAGCGTTTGATGATTTCTGGCTGCCACTTCAGAAAAATGGATGGATCTAATGTCGTTGTATATGAGCCTGTGTGAGCTATCTGTATTCATCAACATATGGTAAAGAGGCTGGCACGTACCCCAACCAATCAGGATGTACCACCAGAAGTACTTCCTCTCAGAGAAGAAGGAAACAGCTAACAGAGTGTGGAGATAGAGGCCCTCCACCAGCAGCCAGAAGTAACTCGCCATGATCCCATACTGGAAGAAGACCACCGCTGCCTTGCAGCCCACCTACAGGAGAGCCTGGATGTTAGTGGCTTATTGCATCGCCAGAATGTAGATGAACACATTCATCAATTCAAATGATGAAGACAAGTTTTGTTGCCAGTGGAAGAGGCTACACAGAGAATGTTTTTAGCAAATTACTCTAAAATTAATACTGATGACTCACTTATCTGAAAACGATCTGTTAGACTTGACAAGTCACTTTTCAAAAGCAGCAGTGAGGAGCCAGTCATTATTTTAATATGAGCATGGTGTAATCAGACAAAATCCTACCGGGGTCATCTTATGGTTGTGCTGATTACACTAATTAAGACTGCTAGAGTAATTAAACCTGCAATCAAAGTGCATTCGAGATTCATGTTCATTTTTCTATCTAAAGCTCCTCACAGTACCATGGGAAGATAAGGTATTCGGTTGCTCAGTAGGTGTAATATTTAAGAGAAATATTTGTAAGAAGGAAGGCAACAGTCACTGAATAGCTTAAAGCAAGTCAGCAAGGATGTAACTTTTCTGAACAATGCCCATTGTGACAATGATGGGTAAGCGTAAACAATTGAACGTAGTATAACAGTAACACAAGAAGAGTCAGCAAAGAGACTCATACAGTAAAACAATATCTAGTTGGTATCATCAGCTGCCATAAGCCACTGCCCATACCAGACCAAGTAAGGGTGTAGAGGTAAAACCTCTGAGTGCTTTGCTTGTTGCTTGTTATAAGTTTTCATTTGTAAAGAGGACAATAATGTTATTCCTTCTTTCAACAGTTTCATTTTGTGTCACTTTTAAGGTCCAGTGTGTAGGACTTAGTGGCATCCAGCAGTGTAGTCGCAGTCCTATCTACTGTTTGGTTTGTCCGTTTTGGGCTACTGTAGAAACATGGCGGTTCAACGTGGCAACCTGCGGCATCTGTGGATCTGTAGATCCTAAATGTTACACACTGGACCTTTGAAGTGGCACTCCTAACAGGACATTGTTTTAGCTAAATTACATTAATTTAGTCAGTTGATCAAGTTATTTTCTGTGTGTGTACAGTCGGTGGTGGTATGCACTTTGCAATGCAATCTCTCATAGAGGGTTTCTTTTATTGGTCGTCCAGAAAAAGTAATACATTCTCCCAGGGGTTACTCTTCATATTCTAAGATTAATAAGTATTCACAAGAGCACTTGCTATTAGGAGCTGAAACCTTTGTAACAAAGTGAACAATGACTAACTTGTTAGCACAAAAAAATACAGTTCCCATGGAAATGTACCAGCAGGCTACGTATACTTGCATCATTGTAACTTGGTTTCTTCAATATCCATGATATTAACCAACGCTTTAAACAATTTTGAATGAGGTCTTGCAGTTTCACTTTGGCTCTTAAGCATTTTCAAAGGTGGAGTAGTGCTCTTCATGAGGAGTTAACTGATCTTGATGTATCCAATCAGTTCCCCTTTAATATGTTGCTTTCTACATTTTTTATGCCGAGTTTAGAAACAGTTGAGAGTATTAGCAGCTGTGTTTGGACCAGGACTATCTGTGTACCCTGAGGAGGAAATATCTAAGTTGTTTGATCTAATCCTCTGGTAATAAAGCAGTGGATTCAGCTGGAGCAAGACCTGAGAAACTAATGTTGGTGACTTGATCAATCAAATAAGAATAAAATAGCCCTAGTATGACCAATCAGTAGCTTATCTAACTCCTTATCTTAACTTAGCACTTATACTGTTTTTATATTGTCACTATAATCATACTGTCGTGACAAAGTGATTAAAACTAGATATGAAAACTGTGCATATGATTCATTGACAAAGCTCTTGGTAATTAAGGCTTAATGTTCAGCAAACAGGAACTCTCACAACATCCTGCTGGACAGATGAATGAAGGAACATTGTCTCAGGAGTGGAAGGGACTTGGCAAACACTGCTACACCCAGAGGCACTTGAGCGCTCGCATGTTAAGTAAACTCCGAGACAAAGCATTAAAGTCAGTAAAGTCGTAGTGAGTAATTAAATAGATGCTGTTCGACCCAGCTAAGGAAAAAGAAAAAAACAGCTGGCTGCCGTTCGTACATCAGACGGACGAGTTAACTTGATCTATGAGGGAAGAACATCAATAAAATGTGGAGTTTCTCTAATAAAATGGATTTGTTGGCGAGCGAGGTAGGAGCCTTCAGGAGCACAGAGTGCGCAGAGTACTCACAGTTGACTGGCAATTGTCTGTCTCCCCGACCTCATACAGAACCACGTCCTTGATGAAAACAGCCACGGCTTTCAGGATGAAAGACATAAACAGATGCATGTGGATGTAGTTCCTCGTGCAGTGCAGCTTCCTGTAAAAGAAGAGAAATAAACTGTTGGTGATTTAAATCAAGAAGGAAAAGCAACTTTGATTAAACATTTCAAATGAATTGTTTACATGGCCTGTCCAGAAAATCATCTGATAAAGTGTATGTTTATGGCACAAAAGCACAAGAAAACACAGAAAGTATGTGAATTTTAGCTGAGGAGAGTAGTCATTATATGCACTTACAGTACATTGCCTTGCAAAGTGCTCCGACTGTGCTGTTATCTAAATGTCAAGCTACATATAAACCATGCAATTGTCAAAAAAAGCCACCTGTATGTTTCATGCTTAATTTGCACTGTAATTTTTCAGTGAAACATATATTTATCAGGCAGAAACAAAGGTAAAAAGCCCTGACTTGACGTTTAGCAAAGAGGTAAATAAGAACAAATCAGGGTTTATTTTAAAATATGAATGATCTGTTCTGGGTCTTCTTGAACAAATGCCTTCCTGGTGAGCTTATGATTGGGGGTGAATTGTGTAAACCCATCAGGCGAGTCATCCCAGCAGGATGGGTGCGATGACACACAGCAACAACCAGCTGCCTGAACACGGCGTCTGCAGCCGAACATAAACAGCAAACGCTGTTCACTTCCTGTGTCTCTGCTCCAGAGTCCAAACCATTGGCATTCCATAAGCCAGAGGAGTAAACAAATCTCTTGTTGTTTAGCCCGTAACACACAAACACTCCACATGCAAACATACCCAAATGAACAGACTGCGTTGTTTATTAGAAGCCACACACACCAGCCTCTTATTATTCAAATGATGAGTGCTAGGTCATGCCAACATGCACTCACACACTTTTCCTCTGCAATCCCAGAACTGAAGGTCAAAAAGGAACATGCTGTGAACAGCAGCCTGTAAATGGTCTGATTTTATGACTGCTTGCAGTTGAATGCTTTGTTTGAGAAATGTTGCAAGAGGAGATAATGTCAGATTTGGACGTCTTGTCCCACAGAATCTGGCAGACACATTACTGTGTGAAAAACACAGTAAAACCTCTATAAAATGCAGGAAGTATGGTGTGAACTGAGAGATCAATGGGTTTTATCGCTCTAAATGATGGAAAAAGGTGTCTGATTGTCTTTACGCAGGGACATTAAGTAGCATTTTGTTGGATCTCCTTACCGAAAGAGACACAGTATGATGATGGCGATCGTCAGAGAAATGAGCGACACACTGTGACCGATGGTGTAACCCACTTTGATGGCGTCAAAGAATTCTCCCTGCAAAAACACGTTCACACACTCAGTGAAAACAGTTCATCCAGCAGCAGTAGCAACATAGGGCTGGAGGAGTTTCGTAACCGTGGTTGCCATACCGACCTCGTTATCATCTATGGTGCTGTTGGGGTTGTAGCCACAGTCCATTATGTAGGAGTCTATACTGATTGGGGTCCAGCCATCCTCAGTGCAGGCCTTTGACAGGTTACCTAATGAACAGAGGGACAGAGGGAATATTCAACATTACTCTTCCAGGAATACAACTAATAGCTGCGACAGATTCAGTGTGTTTCATTTACAACTATTGTAGTAATAATATTATTATAAAATTGTGTATGTGTGTTTGCGGGAGGAGGGGGGGTCGCCACACAAAACTTCTCCTATATTTACTCACACTTAATTGTGTCACACTGAGATGTATAGGTCTCTCTGGAATACTCCCAAATACTAAAAGGAAATGGAAGGAATGAGTGAAGGGGATCAGTCGTCCCACCGGCTCAGAGATGCTGGGACAGTTCCCATGTGTATTTGCCTCCATCTGTTTCTTAATTACTCTCAGGCTGCACACACACCAGGAGGCCAACAGTCGAGCAGAGAGATATTTTTACTTTGGCCTGCCCATGGGGGCAGGAGTGAAAGGTCCAAGTGCATAAGACTGACCATAAAGAGAGGAGAGGGCACTTTCATCTGAGAGGAGATTGGAGGAGCAGAGTAAAGTACAGTAGACTAGAGTTCATTAGAAAAGAGTAGAGCTGTGTATAGCTTTGTAAAGTACAGTAAACTAGAGTTTATTAGACTAGAGCTAGAATAGTGCATGGTAGAGCTCTACAGAGCTCAACAACAGTACAGTAGAGCTACTCTAGTCTACTCTACTCAGTAGACAATAGCTCAGTGTAGTACAGTAGACTAGAGCTAAGTAGATAACACTCAAGTAGAGCTCTGTATAGTAGAGACCAGTAGGGTAGAGTTCAGCAAAGTAGAGCTTTTCCAAGTATAGTTCAGCAGGTGTTCTGTAGAGTATAGCAGGCTTGAGCACAGATTACAGATTAAATCAATGTAAACAAATAAAAAGGTGAATGGATTTGTACATTCATGTCTTGTCTTACATGACAAGTAGCTATATGTAAAATGCAAGAGAGGGACTCTTGCATTTTACATATATATTATACATGTAGCTACTTCTTAGTAAATGACAGCTGCACAATAAGTGCATTACAAAAACGAAAATGTTGAATGTTGTTCTGAATACTGAATGTTAAGAATTATTCAGTTGTATTTATTTCACTGAGAGATATTTTAGTAAATGTCACTTCTAACTTCATCCAACAGAAATGTACTTGGTGGAATATGGTGGAAGCATGCTGGTTAAGATCGGTTGCATCTAATCCTCCTCTCTCTTTCCATGTTTCTTGTGTCTCATATATCTGTCCATAAGGGCTAAAATGCAAGAATATAAAGCTATGAAAAGATTGAAAGAGGAAGGTATGAAATGGACAAGAGTGCCCATCAAAATCCTTTGAAAATGCATTTCACCATTAGACCATATAACTTCCTTTAAAAGTGCTAGATGTGAAGATGTTGTGCAAAATACTGAGCTACAAAAAAAAAGAATACGTTTTCTAAATAACAGGAAGGAAATGCATCACTGCTCAGATTGGACACTAATAATTAATTAGATTGAAAACCCATTCATTCATTCATGAGACATATCTAATCCTGGAACCAGCAGCGAGAAGCACTGACTGACATCTCCGTGATTTTGCTCTTATTGTGTAATATTTATTTGTCGCATTTCCTCATCTCGTTCCCTGTCAATGAAGAATGAAAGCTGCGTGTGTTGGCGACAAATTAATCCTTGCACTGAATACCGCTGTAGAAATCTAAATGTAGGACATTCCTCACATTTCCCAACCGTATCGCTCCGCAGCCACTATCAAATCAAGACAGAGTTGGGAAATGACCAACAATCCAAAGTCTTAGAATGTATTTGGCATTAAAATATGGCCAGCTCACAAATACCTGAGTAGCGTATTGCAGAGAAGACGGAGGCTTAGCTTGCTCAAACAACATGACAAGACACAAAGGCAATGATAAGCCCCTGCTGTTTCAGTCCATGCCACCACTGGATTTGGCTTGTTTGAGGGATTGCCAGAAGAATGCTTTCATCATCCCCCAAAACATAACTGCAAGGACTTTCAGTGTCATGCACGACAACAAGAAGAGCTCAAACGAGTTAATCATCCCATCATTGTTTTAATTTCTAGGCTTTTTTTTTTTACTCAATGTTGTGAGTCAAATGCTTTATCCTAATTCTATCTTGGAGGAAGATTCATATTAGCACGCAATGATTATCTTCAGCTCAACGGAATATTATGGCTTGTAGGTGAAACCATTGACAGCCAGGCACTTGCAGAAAGGGTGAGTCGCCTGTGTTATTGAAAGAGATGAATGACTGTGTGTTTGCCTTAGACCTACTAGGTAAAGAGTTCATGAGAATGGCAAACTCTGTCTCAACTAAATTTATGACTTGGCCCTGAATCTCTGTGGCGCCACATTTCGTAATGCTTGTTTTTTTGTGTGTGAGGCTTTTAAAATGAATGGCTCAGGATGTGTCAATAACGTGAGGTTTCGCAACTGACTGACAGTGAATGCATTTGAAATGAAGCTAAATGGACTTTTTTCACACTGTTATAGTTTCACAAAAAGGGAAACTTCTTAAAAAATATACATCATTCATCAAGGATTCTCTGACGTCTAAGGTTCGTGAGACCTTTTCAGAATAAAATGAATAAATTGACAAATGTACAGCGGTCAAGCTACACAAACAAGGCTGTTTTTCTTAGTTCCTGTAATGCTCACGGTTGAAGATAAAAAAGGTTCTCACCCGACTGCAACAGTAATTTACAAGGCACAGAATCCCAGACCATTCATCCTCCCTTAATTAAGTCCTCCTTACATGACCTGAGATCAGAGTAGGGTTAACCAGCAGAGACCTGCACTGATTTGCTGATTTACTGCATAATTGATATCATGCACATCAGGGCAGCACAGCTCACTTATAATCCCTTCTCTCTCTTTCTTTGCCTCTTCCTGGTCCCTGCCCCATGGGGGCCTGTTAATCCTGTGAACCTTTGACATGTCAGTGAAATATACATCTTCTGCCTTCAGCCCCACAAATCTGGTGATTCTTCATCTGCACCCTCTCTTTTCCCTTGAGTGCTCTCTTCTGTCAGGTCACACTATCTCCCATCTGGGTCACATCGTAGCTTCCCAGAAAACCCTAATACTTCGCAATGAGCCTTCACATGCTAATGATAAATCATTGGTTGGAGTCGCTCTCATGTCCTGAATATGATGGGGAAAATACCGGTAAGATTACAGGGGCTGGAACCCCATCACCATATCAACAGAGGCACTCAGGTTTGTTAAAAGCACTGCAGTCACTTACAGCTTAAAAAGTTGGAACAGCACAGGTGATGGAACATCTGGGTTGAGTTTGTGAAGCTGTTTGTGTGCAGTGAAAATGTCTCCGACCTATCAGGTGTCATGCACACAACCAAAGCCAGGTACAAGCTATACAGATACGTATATCTATACCTATAAGAGTTTTCATTAGCAGGAATCGTTAATGCAAAAAGAGATTGTATATTTATGCATCCAGCTAACACAAAGCAACATTAGCTTTTGTCTAGAGTAGTGTATTTTGCTATCTGACGAATAGAAGCCCAAAATGAATCCTCCTTTTAGCTCTGTTTCAGTATCCATTAACTGTTTGACAAAAAATATCTGGCTCTTTATCTGCTAAATGCTTCACTGTGCTAAACACTTGCGCTAAATATCTGTTTTTTCCATTTGGTGCTGGACAGGTAGCATACACTTTGATGCTGAAGCTGCAAGCTGCATCCTGAAACAAGGTTCATAAGGTGAGAGTATAGGCTCGTGTATGCTCGCCGTTCCCGACCTGTCGCGCGATAATGTGACTTCAAAATGACGTAGATCTCGTAGGCCCGGTCAAGCACCACTCTTTTTTTTTCAGCTGAGCGCGCCAAAGCGGAAACAGGAAGATCGACGATCTGTACGATCCTTCAATGAAGGAACACAGAGATGCCCAGAGGTGCCAGAATTCATGGCGAGAAATCGCCATGAATGTAGGAAAAGACGAGGCCATATGCTGGAAAATTTGGAAGAACCTCTGCAACCATTTTGGAAAATAAAGAAATAAAAAACTTTTTCTTCTTCTTCCAGTGCCTAGAAATAGCAAAGTTGATAGCCTTTCCTCAGTTGCGACACCTCTGTTCAGGAGAAGATTGCTGTCGCGACCACCACGTGCAAGTATAAATAGTTACGGCGCTCCCGTGACGTCACAGTGTCGTGCGACAGGTCGGGAACGGCGAGCATACAGGAGCCTTTATGTCGGCGGGAAAACCAAAACAATATCCTGAAAGGGCTAAAAAGCTCTGTAGAGATTTATTCTCTGTTGGTTTGGCACTATAACTGACACATAGTATACTTAATCCTCTGATCCATTATAAATAAATGAAATTATTGACAAATATTCTTTGACAGCGTATCAAAGAACTATACCAGTGTTTTAACAAGCTAATTTCAAGCTGCTTCAACTTCAATAAAGGCACATTTCTCAAGGCTCCAAGTTTAAATTGAGGCGTCTCTGCTAGCTCAATATAAATAAACAACTTCATCTACTCGGTGTGGTAATTAATGACAAATGAAGATACTAATAAACTAATAAATTCTCATGAGAGTGGCTTTCTTTCCCTACCATAATTAGTATTACTTCCCTGTGAGGCTTCTCATGGATCAAAGGAGCACAAATAAACAGAATGCTTCTTTGATGGGTGGATGGTGCCGGGTTCATTTATCTTTTTGTGACTCAGTTGTGCCATGTGTTTTGAGTTTTACTGTACTTTACTTTGTGGGGCTATTTGAGATGTGGTGTCAGGAGAGATAGAAACAACAGGTGATCATGTGCTAGAATGGCATCATGAGTACGAGCTGCTAGGATGCTCAGTGTACTTCATAATTCCTATTTCTGGTCTCAAATATGGAGCATGATGATACTGACAAAGACTTCAACAGCAGGGAATGTTTGGAACATCAGCAACAAAAGGAAGGTTGAGAAAGGATGAAGATGAGCGGCTTGTTTTAAAAAATAACTCCTCCATGAACACCCTTTAATTAAAAAATTTCAATTTCATTTTAAAAAAGTAAATTTTAGACTCAAGGATGTGGATCTACAGGATTGACATAGTGAAGTATATATATCCTTGGTGTAATATTTATATATATTGTTTAGGAAGAGTGATTTTGTTTTTGAAAAATATCCTAATTTACTTACAAATACAGTTAAAGGTGGGTAGTCCTAATTTCATAAAAATATTTACATGGTTATGTTTCTTTAGGTTTGGAAGGTGATCAGAGAGATGAGTATAATTATATAGTAATTTGGACCAGCTTTCTTTCCTTTAGGCTTTTTTGCCTTTATTTGACCATGACAGCTGAAGCGAAGAGAGGAATGATGGAGAGAGATAGAGAGAGAGGGGATGACATACAGTCAAGGGCCGCAGGCTGGAATGTGTAAGTGTAAACCTACAGACCCACTGGTTTGTGGAATAGCGTTCTGAAGCCTCGACTTTCACACACACTCTCGTACTACACATAAACAGTACACTAAAATATGTTTCTGAAAAGATCTTAAGTGAGGCAGAATCTTGCTTTATATTTGATCAGCACTGCCTAGTTTGACAGTTTGATCTGAGTTTCGGATGGACTCACCGAGAGTGACTTGTCAATGTCAAAGCATACTCTGCTTTATAGTCTATTTTACTCTAAATTAGACCATAATTTAATAAATGAACATCATATTGTATGGAAGAAGACTAAGAGAAGACCATAAAGTCGTTAGGAAACTGTTTACTGAGCTCATAAATCAAGAAGTTGGGTAATTTCTCATAAGACTACATACTATCTGACTTTTTCTGCAGCCAGTGGAGCTGCCCCCTGCTGGTCATTACACAGAATGCATGTTTAAGGCCCATGCGCGTTGGCTTCACCTTCACCTCAAACTCACGCTCTAAAATGTGAGCTACCATGGCACTCCATTTATACCGGTTTTGATTAGGACAGAAACAGGTTCATTAAAAGATCACTTCAGGCAGCGTAACAAACACAACACTGACATATTATTAACATATAAAGTTGATGTAGCAAACTTTCTAGCAAGCCGTTGTTTATTTACACATCCTCTAGCAATATTAGGTTTACATTATTCACTGCGGGAAATATCTGACTCTTTAGCAGCTACATGCTCCACTGTGCCAACTCCGTCTGTCTCAGCAGGTAGCTTACAGGACATTTTTAGAGCTCTTTTGCTGAGATCCTCCAAAACATATAGAAAGAAAGTCTTTGAGGGACTCCCGCACACTGTCTTGCTTACTGCTAACATTTCTTCATCGGGTATAAACACATAAAGGAGCCACCTCAGTCATTTAGAGCTGCTGAAAACAGCTGCTTGTGGCTGGAAACAACCTGATGAGAGCAGTGAGACTGAACCAGAACAGTTGTGGACCTCACAGTGGTGGACTGGCTGTTTGAGGGGCAGTGGCAAAAATAAATAAAAAGGCCACCAGCTGCTTGCTGTGGGGCACCAGCACACAGGAAGTCATGATGCATTTATAGTGCAACAGTTCCAAACCCTGGTTAAGATTAAAATGTTTTTATTATGTGACTTAGATTTTAAGAATAATATATGGCACTGCATCACATTTTGTCCACTGAAAGTGCACTCTAGAGGACACTTAATCATCTTTTATCTATTCTTTTTTTCAAACAAAGAGGCACCAGAGGGTCAAGATACACACACAGACACATGCAAAACCTACTTTATAAACCTGATTCTTACGTGTATGGACGTCCCTGGAGAAGTAGAAGAGATATTTGGGGCAGGGAATGGTGACCACCTCTCCAACATTGGCACTGGGCCAGCAGGTGATCTTGTCCCATGTCCCACTGCAACCTGAGGGAGGGACAAAGAGAAAGGCCAAAAATGTTCGAACATGGAAACACCACATGTATCAAGATAACAAAATAAAACAGCTGTTTTTTTATATGTCTAACTAAAACTCTTGTGAGGTGACTCCATTCCAGGGACAAACAGCAACCTGCTTCAGGTGAAGGTGGAGCCCCAGAGTTCCCATGGCAGCCAGAATGTGGTGGCTCAAGTCAGCTGATGTTAAAGCCCCGGGTCCATAACAGCGGATGACCTGAGTTAACATGCCCCCCCTATGACTAATAAAACAGCTCCCTGTCCTTTGTTACACACTGTTTTTGAATCCAACAGACCCCTGTGACTTGTTCCGTCTCAGGACGCAGAATCAGGTCACAGCACTTTTAGATGCACACCTGCTCACTTCACCAGGTGATATTCGCACCATCTCCTTGAGGATAAGGCAGCATTTACAGCATTGGATGGAATCTATAGGAAGCAAAGTTGTATCTAAAATAATGAGTGTTTAATGACTTTCTCATTGTGTGAAAGTAAACAGAGTCTTGTGATACCTGCAGCTCGGATCAATGAGGTTTTGGCTGCACACAGAGATAATAGAGGCTCAATGAAGCAAAATGATCTCTCTGTAGAACATAATTATGTGCTGCGTGCTGTGAGTATGCAACACCCCAATTAGTGACACGTAATTCCAGCTTCATCAACAATAAACTCAAGCAACAAATCAGCTAATTGAGTTTTACCATTGCTCACTCGCTGTCACATTCTTCTTAATGGTGCTTAATGAAAATGAAATGCAGAACCTGATCAATTAGAAAGTTTTCTTTGAAATTGAACCAAGGCACATGTGACAAGGGGCTGGCATTAGGGGGAAAACAGTGTTCAACCACGCAAGGTGTAATCTAAAGCCAGACGGGAGGTTTGAACAGCTTTTGTTGTCTTTAGAGCTCGTTGTGTGACTTCGATCAGAGCCTGCTTGTGGATTAAGCAAATCAGGAGAAAACAAAATAAGTGCAGCCAGGACAATAAAAGAAAGTCAAACACACACACACACACACACACACACACACACACACAAAACTACATACCTGTTGTTTTGTTCTCAATCAGAGCCTCACACATGTCCTTCTCCTTGTCTATTTCCTTCATCATGTCACACATCTGATTCTGCACTGAAAACACCTGCGAAGAAAACAATTTTACACGTTTTCCACATATCTCTTCAGGCCACTGTGACAGTCACAGATCATTTGTCTATTAGTGAAGACTGCAAGGCTGTGTGTGCTCTCTCAACATTGCTTCACATCTCAAGGTAAACGCATCTATTCGCTCTTGTTCCTGAGATGAGCTGACCAGGGCTCCCATTATTCTCTCCGCCCGACACATGTGACAAACACAAAATCAATCTTAAGGCTGTGATTCAGCCATTATATTCCTTAGATTTGCATGTGAAGATGTGGAGTGAATCTTCAGCCATGAATTGGTTCAACGTGAAGCTGAATCCATGAGGGCTCTACCACCACAGGATATACAGACCCTCTGCGGGAGATTTATTGCTGTTACTTAGGTGGATGAGTGTCCTCTCTCTGGGCATTAATCAGACTGGTAGTACGTAGCTATTGTTAGCCACAAAATGAGCCCATATGACTCCAGCCTCTCCCCACACAAGGTGACCCCCCCATTTAGGTTATGATTTATCTCACTCCTCAGGCTACGCAGCACGTCCTGTGTTACTTCACCCACGACGCACCTCTGGACTATGAATGGAGAAGATGTTGTCAGTGATGGATGGGCGCTGCCTTAAGCAATACAAGTTGGAGTATCAGGAAAAAACTTTCCCCACACTCCATCATTACAATCATGACTGTGATCATGAGAATTACTTTTACCTTCTCCAATAGCAATAACAACACTGCCCATCTTTTTCTTTGCATCATTTTCAACGCAGAGGCACTGAAAGTGTGTGTGAGTGTGTACAAATGCAGATGTAAAAGCCAGCATGCTATTCTAAGGCTTTGACCTCCTCCAAACTGAATTCCAGCATGAATCATATATGCTTCTCTGCAGGAGACAGTTGTGGATAAGGACGCTGGAGACCAGGGAGCACAGAGACAGACAAAAGAGGCCATCGCCATGGGGAGACCAACATGCACATTGGGACTTTTCTTGGTGATTCAATTTAACTGTAGCCATTAGAAGAGATCAGATAGGACATAAAGACACATGAATGTCACTGTAAAACAATCACAGTCTGACCAGATGTTTGGTGTTGGTGCCAAATGTCATTTAAAAAGCTGCAGGTGTTGCCTGCATGTGCCTGAGGAAGAGAGGGTGTTGATGGGGAGCAGAGGCTGAACTGGAGTGAGGAGACTGGTATTGTGACCATGGGAGAGGAAGTCATTCTCAACTTTTAAAAACTTCTTTAAAAAACAAAAAGCTCAAGTTTAAGTATTATTTGTCCTTAAATGTCTTTAATAACAAAATAAAAACACGATGATGATGACAACCTTACTCAATGTATATATAACTCTCCAGTTTCCGTGCACACATGTTGACCAGTGAATGACTCACGCTCCTCAGTGGGGCACACTGGTGCGCTCTGCATCCAAAACTGGTTCAACCAGAGAGATCTACGTGCTCACCCTTACATTGCCAAATTAGACGAGCAGCTGGCGCATACTTGAAAACGAGCCCAGGTTCAAGTCATGAGAAAAGTCAAAAGTCTTTAAATATACTCACGGGTTCCAGCAACATGCAGCAGAGAAGGATGAATATGCTCTTTGAAACTTCCACCAACATATCCTTAAGAGGAGTTAATTCGTTAAAAGAAAATAGATATATATTGTAGCAAAACAAAATTAAGTAAAATAAGTGTAAATGTAGTGTTAATCCGGCGCAGGTTAGTGTGCGTCCCCTTGCAGACACTATGCGTTCTTGCGCTCTGAGTGGAGTGAATTACTCCGCTCCTGATATCCTCTTCCTCCACCTCCTCCTCCTCCCACTCAGGCTTTACCTTGAACAACAAACAAGTAACCAATGGAAGATCATCAGTGCACGTCAGTGAATGAGGGCGTCAACACGTAGACGCAAAGAAAGAAGGAAACTGCTGTGTCTGTAATTAAATAAAGACACGACTGATCCTTTCTTTCATCTTCAATGTTATCATGTCACAAAACTCTATTATAATACGAGACATTTATTTTGTAACTATGGCTACAACTTTAACTACAGCTTCTCTTGGTGCTTCAGGTACTTGTACTTTACCTCTGTATTCTTAGTATACTTTACAGGGGCGGGTCTATAGGGTGGCCAGAGGGTGGCATAGACTTTAAGGGGTGGCAGAAATATATGCTGATTTAAATTGGAAACCACTGGACTAACACAGTAAAATGCTACTAATGCGTTGCTGCATCAGTATTAACAATCAATAATGTCATATCTTTGTACCTGTTTTGGCTCTTTTTGTAATAGGCCTATTGAACTGTATTTATAATTGAACTCCAAGCTCTCCCAATTTAATGTTATTTTACTATTTTCTCTTGTGTAATATATGTTGATTGTGGTGAAGCCAAACACAATAAAGTTTTTAACCTGACCTTTATAATAACATATCAGTCACACAGGACATTTTTTGCAGAACCACTAGATTTACTTTCTTTTAATAATAATACTTCTGTACTTTTACTTAAATCAAAATTTGAATGAAGGACATTTACTTGAAAAAGAGTATTTCTACACAGTCGTATTATTTTTGTTTAAACCTACTACAAGGAGTTATTGAAACAGTCTCAGTTTAATACTGCTGCCTCTATGACCTACACAAGCACACAAGACCATCAGCGAGAAGATTGGATATCTCTATATAGTTGTTCTTAATGCCTGCCACCTGGTGGGACTCCCCTTAAAATCAATGAAACAAGTCGAAACATGACCGCTTTTGTCCACAGGGGCCATCAGAATCAACAAAAAATGAAAATTGTGAAGTGTCACAGCAATATAAAAAGCAAATGTGTAAAGGAACATAAGGAAAGAAGATACTGCTACACAGAGCACAGGGGGTCACTAAATGGTTTGATAAGGATAAAAATGATGTGAATCAACAGTTTTTCTTCAATTTGTCTCCCACCTGTAAAGTGAATATAATTTTAGGGTGGCTGAGAAATATTAGTTATACCTTATAATATAATACAATAACACATTACAACAAACATCATCTCCTAAAATTGCCATAAAGCTGAGGCAACATCAGTCTCAACAATTATTCCTGCTTCTATAGATTTGGTTCTTTAACTTAACATTCAGAGTCAAAATACACACTTGAACTATTAAGACTTATTTTTTATTATTGGTTCATACCATACAGAGGACCATATACAGCAGAAATTTAGACGTACGTGTAGTTACATGCAATAAACATCAGTCTCTCCCAGTTGGTTCCCAGATATGGACGCCCTCAGATAAGATAATGCTACTGTATATGCTCAGAGGATGATGCATGGTGCACATATATATGTGAAGTGGTTGCAACTGTGGAAAATAGAGATATGTAAAGCTCATAATTCATAAAAAAAACAGTGTGGGAAGACTGATAAATATTTCTGCTCCCTCTGGAAGTTCTGCAAACGGACAATGCAAGTGAACAAAATGCAGTGTGTGTCTGGGGTCAGATGGCTGCTCTGTCATCGTGCACTCATGCAGCAGTGTGCATACTGTGAAGAAATGAGGATTATGTCATCTACTTCCAACCATGAGGAATACAAGTTACTGATACACAACAATAAACAGAACATGTCTTTGTTTCCCATGCACTGACTCCTCCTGTGGCACCATGTGCTTCACCTTATGTTCTGCTGGTCTGGTTTTACTACCAGTGGGTGACTCACCCAGACTTCTGAAAGCTCTGATGAATGTCAGAACAACTTTACTCTGGGATGGAAGTCAATCTCAGTCAAAATAATTGTGCTTCTTAGGTGTCATTACAGTAAACGTTTGACACCACCAATGTTTACCCCTCTTTCACAGTTGTGTTTTATTGCCAGTGTCAGCAAATTAAGAACACATTTCTCATAAACCCTCCGTCATAAAGATGATCTTTGCATCTAGAGAGGATTAGCAACATCTTCCTGTTTCATGCCATAAAGCAATAGCACAACATTTTCTATGACAAACAGAGTGAAATATAATACCAATAAGAGGCTACAAGGGTCTCATTTACTGTAATTAAAGCATTAATTGCTCAAGTTCAATTAGGGAATTATTTATTGTCGGTAATTGCTGCATAACTTCTTGCCTTTAACTCAAGCTTAAACATACCTCGGCCTCCTCACATGCAACCTGTGGGGTTCATTGAGATGCTGATGTCTGAATTGATGTACGAGTTGTCAGTCAGCGCCCTAGATATTTTAATGGAGGCAATGATGGTAATTATGAAGGTGCATCAAACTCATCAAACTGAAATGAAGACCAGTGGGTGAAATTATCTTCCCAGCAGGGAAACCAGACGTAATGTTAATCTGTTTGTGGGTGTACAATGTGTGTGTGTTTGCTTTTATGCCTGATGAGAATGTCCATAAATCCTGATAAAATCATGAGCCGCACAATACTATTTCATTTTGTCAAGCGTGCAATCACAAAAATGTCATCTTTTAAGGAAGTGAGAAAAAACGTGTTTTGGTTTGTTAGAAATGTGTCATTCATCATTTTAAATGGAAACATGAGAGTCACCAAAACAGCAGGTAAGCAGATATGTTTGAGCAGCAGTTTCTCTTGTGAGCACACATGAAGCTGATTCACTGCCTGCATTTAGAGGAATTCTGAGTGGTTTTCTCATCCAGGTCCTTTTTAGCCACATTACCAGTGCGGCTTTCGGTCTGTCGGCTGGTCTGGTCTTTCACTATATCCTGACAGCAATTGTTGTTTTTAATGCTAATTAGCATTTAGTTAACTGAGATAGTGAACATGATAAACATAGCAATGTTATTGTGGACATGTTATCATGCTGATGTTAGTATTTTGGGCAAAGCACCACTGTGTCTTAATGACAGCCTCACACAGCCAAACATCTTAAAAATAATAATATGAAATAACTTTTTATATTGATATAATTTTTATAGCGCTTTTCAAGGGACCCAAGGACGTTTTCCACATATGAAGGCTGACAAAACAAAACACAAGAAGAGAAAAAAATAGTAGCAATGTTTGCCGGGGATAACAGAATTGAAAATCTCTACTTGTGTTACAAGATAATTTCTGTCTGAAATAACGAATGAGCACTACTTATATTTTCAAGGCCTCCTTAGGTCAAGGGCTTCAAATGTGCAAAACATAAATGGAGACATGTGTTAACCATCCATTATTACTGGATATACCTATTGATTCTGTGCCACCCATTCTCCACTGTCTCAAATTCCTTTTTTTACAGTAGATAAATAGTGCAGAGAAATATTTTGGCATGAACCAAGCTGGCTGCTCTGAAGCAGTGTGTCTTTTGTCCGCTCTCACTCATCAGAGAGAGGAAGGGCCAAAGGGAGTGTGCATCTTCAAAAGAAATATGAGAGAACTGTGAGAGCTGTGGAAGTCAGAAAAGAGGTTTCAGGGACATTTTTTGCTGTTGAAATAAGAATAACAGCTTTTGCCAAAGACATTACTATGTCAGACTTTTCACCTGTTTTACTGCTCTGTCAGTCCATTCGTGAAGCCACTGCATGACCCCACAGACATATGACACTGACAGTGTTGTCTGTTTCATCAGACAGGTTTGTTCCATGCAGGTTCAGAGATGCAGCACCAAGGTTGTGCATGTTTGAGTTCCCACAATAAGACAACTGACGTCATTAATTTGAACTAAAAGATATTTCGCTTTCAGTGAGTAGTCAAGGACAGACATATTGACAAAGAATGAAGCAGCACCTCAATCAGGATGAGCATTAAGTGCAGTAAAGACACAAAAGAAGCTTGTAATCAAAGCATTCTTCCTTCCTTTCTTCTCTTCTCCAGGGCGTCAGGCAGTGCCGGCCCGTGGTATAGGCAGTATAGGCAAATGCTAAGGGCGCCGTCCATCTCGGGGACGCCACAATGGGGGAAGAAAAAAAAATAAAGGTGCAACTTTCAATATTTTTATACTAAAACTAGTTGGTGCTATTATTTCTTAGTATGAAAAAAATAATCCCACATTAATTTAACTGCATAGCAAAGCCTATTAAATAATAATAATACTTTATTAAGCCCCCCCCACCCCCTTTGCTCTGCTTGTAACAGTCAGTCAAATGCTATTCCTTTCACACACCTTTATATATTAGAGTTGTAAGCCTTGTTGTTTGTTGTGTTACAGTTCAGTATTGTCTAAAGTGTGTTTATAGTGTTAAACTTTACATCCATGTTAAAGTACACACCATTAATGTTAATACAGTCCCATATGTTATATTATACTGCAGTTTACTGCTTCTTTGCATTCTGCTAATCAGCATTTCACTATAATGACAATAAGATTAACGAATCTAATTTGCATATCAGAAGGAATTGCACTGTATATCATTCATGTACAGTACAGTGAAAGTAATGCATCTCTTAGGTTTTTCATTTTTATTATTTAAATTTATTCTTGGAATCATTTCTTTTATTATTAGACTGTAACACCCAACTCTTTCTGTTATAGTGGCTGCTGCTGAAAGAAGCTTCTCCAAGCTCAAACTCATTCAACCTTACCTGAGATCTACTATGATGCAAGAATGTCCCAGTGGACTTTCCATCATAAGCATCAATCATGTGGTCTCAAATTAGCTGTCATATGATGAGGTTGTAGATGACTTTGCTGCAAGAAAGACTAGGAGAGTACAACTGTAGCAGATGATGAGAGGATGACTAGGTGGTGGTGTAGTTTCTTTTATTTTATCACTTGTTTACAGTTTTTATTTTGGAGGTAGTTAAATTTTATACTTTGTGTGCACTATTTATATTTCTTGTATTATTTATTTCTAATTTATTATTTTCTTGTTTACTGTTTTGATTGAGCAACTTGTTACTCTAAAAATTAAACAAAATGTCAAACACAAAGCTATTCAGTTTCTTGCATGAGTATATGTATGAATATAACCGGCAGTGGAATTTATTGCGATGCAAGGGGGGCGTCACCCAAAATCTTGCCTAGGGCGCCAAATTGGTTAGGGCCGGGCCTGTCATCAGGTGTTGAATTAAACAGTGGTAAGGTTGTGGTGTCAGGGGGTGCCTGGGTAGCTCACCTGGTAGGGCTGGTACCACACGCACCGAGACTGAGTCCTTGCTGCAGCAGCCCAGGACTCGAATTTGATTTGTGGCCCTTTGCTGCGTGTCATCCCCTCTCCCTCTCTCTCCTCGTCTTTCCTGTCACTCTTCAGCTGTCACTATCAATTAAAAAGACAATAAAAGCCCCAAAATATATATATAACTGCAGATACATTTTCAATTTCAGCAGCACTTTCCACAGCCTGAAGAAAAAAAGGGGCTTTAAAACAGGATTAGATAGCATCCAAATGACAGGAGAAAATATGACCACACATTTTAAACCCATGTGTGTTCGCAGTCAAATACTGTTTGCCCAGTGAAAATAGTCAGCTACTCAGTACACAGACAGAGAGGCAAAGAAAAAGGAAGCCGTCAAAGTCTGTGACGCTCTACTTTATGATGTATGGCCGTATTACGTTGGTCAACGCTGGCAACTTTCAGTAAAAACATCAGAGGATTAGCTGCTTCATGGTGAGTGTACTGAGGTGATCCGTACCTCTCCAGGGGCAAATACATCTAAAAGGATCTTATAAGAAAATTAACAGGATAGGTAAGAATAAAAACATCATTCAGCTATGCAATATTATTTTATTTTTTGACTTTTCTCTTATCTTGTGAAGCACTCTTCAGCTCTCAAAAAGATATTATAATAAAACAAGAAGAATAAAGTTTTAAATGAAAATCCTTTATGTTGATACTGCTCATGATCTCATAGATGTAAGGAGGGGCAGCATGTTACAGTCTCCATGAATGCAGCATGACTCAGCCTGCAAATCACCACTGTCATGACCACATCATTCAGATTGGCAACATTAATCTATGTCACACCATGATAACAAGCAGTAAAGCTACTGTATTAAACTGGCGTGAGGAGACAAAGACATGTCAGGGAGGCAGGAACCATTATTACCATAGCGGAAGAAGTATTCAGATGCTTAAAAGGTGATAGTACATTAAAAAAACAAAACAATGTTACAAGTAAAGAATAAGAAGTATTTTATGGGAAATGTATCTTTTTCACCAGACACACACACAGGACTCACAAACATGCAATTTTTTGGGATCAGTTGATTATTAAGATATGATGCATGGTTACAGATTAAACCAACTAAAAAGTATATGAAGTTTGTGAAAAAAAAACTGAAACTAAAAATTACTGTCACCTCAATCAACCACAATATTAAAGTAATACTGACATGCTAATGTATTAAAAATGATAAAATATTGCAAGGGGCCATTGTGCATAATGAGTACTTTTGTACTTTAAGTACATGTTGTTGCATTACTTTAGAACTTTTATTTTAGTTATTGAATTAGACCTTCACATATAGTAGCCTGCTTTCATAGTGGGGAACTGCTACTTTTAAATTATTTGTTTTAAATACTTGTAGGTTTCATTTGCTGGGACAGAATGCTTCACTTTCAGCTTAAACACATTGTTGCATAAATTTAAGTGTGGAAGAAAGAACTTGGCTTTGCTGCCACCTGGTGGTCAAAAAGCTCCCACGAAAAAAAATGCTGCTTATTTCCTATTGGCTGATGAAATATGACGCAACGTGGGCAAACAAGGAAATGAAACCGATGTAAGTGAAGCTTTCGGTTTATGTACCATGAGCCAGAGTTTTACCAGGTAATTTTTGTTCCTCTTATCTGTCCTTTATGACATTATTCCTCAGAAATACACGACGTACTCGTCAGTGATAGTAATTGTGCATTAGTAGTTGGAGTAGTGCTGACTGTGTCGTCCTGTCACAGATACAGGTATGGGTGACTTTCTGGTTTTGATTGGCGTCGGGTCCAGCTTCGCCTTCTCTGGACTGTTCTATCATTTATATCAAGAAAAGACAAAAGAGTTGAAAAAGCTGAAGGCAAGTATATCATTGTTTGAGTCTTGGTTAACGTAACTGTTGAAGTAAAGTATTAACACAGCTCTTGTTTAGTAATGGCTGGGAAATGCTCATCTAGAAGCCTTTTGTTTCATTTTAGGAAATACCCATCTTCAAACCGGATCAACATTTGGTCAGAGTACTGAAAGCATCTCCCCACAAGAGACTTCAGTATGTTGCTGTAGAAGGTACAAACATGTATTAACATTTTTGTAAATGCAGTTTTGAATGGGGTCAGTCAGAGAGATCATTGTAGGAGGAATCACAGTTTCCTTCATACCTGTTTCAAGGGTTGGTCCAGGCGGATGGAGAGCCTCTGGCCAGCCAGTTTGTCCCACGATGCTTTGGTGTGATTCAGAAGATAGCAGTGGAGGAGCACTGGAAGTACTGGAACTCCCTCAGCAAGACCTGGTACATGAGACCACAGAACAAAACCTAAAATGTCTACAATCAATCTACTAGCCTGTTAATAACAGTTTGCCTTGACTTTGACTTTTCCAGGAATTCTCGGACAATGAACAGAAAAGAAACCAACAACGCAGTTCCTTTCAGTCTGGTCAGTCCTGGAGCCTACTTCACTGACTTGTATGTGAAGGTCCAAAACCCTCTGGAGGCCTCTGGGTGCTATCTCGAGAGGGTTTATTTCAAAGTAAGACGTGCTGAGGAGGGCTTAATTAATGTGGTGGTGCAGGGCTTCAGTGGGGAGAAACCTGTGGCGATGGAGGAGAGCGAGGAGCTTCTGCGGGTGGGGAGCACCCTGACTGGTTTTGGTGAGGTGGTGCTGGAGGGAGGTCAGGTGATGAGGCTGCAGGCCCCGCAGGACGGCCGCAAGTATATCCTGGTACCCACTGACTACAGGAGCTTCTTGGACAGGCACGAGAGAACAGCCAGCATGTGGAAGGCGCTCACAGCCTTTACTGGCATCACAGGGGTTTGTCTTCTAGCCGGCGTCATTCGTGGCATGATGGGAAAACAGGATGACAGGTCAAAGTAGGCTGGGACACTGCAGGTGTAACCGCTTAAAAATCTGTGTCACTGCTTTTTGGGGTGTCCCAATGCCATTGATCATCCTGATGCTAAGATAATTCTGTTATTTGTTTCATTGCTGACAGATATTTTCTGCTGTCAGGGGCAAAACAGCAAAAACAACATTGGACGAAATATATTAGAAAAATAGAAAGCGCAAACACAAAACAAATTAACAAAACAGGAAACACAACATTTAAAAAAACTGGACAGGTAGCGACGATTCTTTTTTTGGAATCAGACAGAACCTGAGTAAATTATGTATTTCCCAAACTGTTGTGTTTACTGAAATGTTATTGTGTTTTTGTTTTATTGTGTTTTCCGAAATGTTTGGGTTTTTTTGGCATTAATTGTTTAATCCAATGTTGTGATTTTTTGCGCATCTGGGCCACCATACCTAACGGACCACTTAAGAGTTTTATCCATTTGTCAAAAACTCTAGCATCCTGTAGAAGTTCTCTATAAATCCTCCACCTGATGATGCGAGCACATGCTGAGTGTGGCAGTTCAGTCTGATGAAGACAATCCTGAGGGTTTTCAGGCCTAAAAGAGTAGAGTTTGGGGGGATGAATGGAGCCTTGCTACAAGATAAATTCCTTGCATTTAAAATTTTCTCTGCAGTCATGGGCCATTAGTATTATTAGTAGTAGGCTATGCAACAAGTGATGAAACAACTGAGGAATGTGCATTTAATGCAGATAGTAGACATTATAAGACTTGTGTGAAAGATTTTAAAATTAAAAGCTGCCTTATCAAGGGAACATTTTATTTTTCTAATGAAGTTGTATTTTTTTATAACTTGAGATGAAATCATTGAGTTACTTGCTGTGAACCAGATCAACAAGATTACTGTGATTTCATTGTCAGTCTCTAGTCATCACGTCCAGACAGAATTTTAAGGTGATTTGTACTGTATCAATTAAGATAATCTTCTACCTCTTAGATCATTGGGTGTTATTGTATTGTTTTATCCAGTTAATGTTGTTTTAGAAGGGGAAAAAAAGGGCACTAAATACTGTTGTAAACAATCTTCTTTAAAAGGTGATGGGTTTAGTCTTATTAAAGTGAGACATTTTGTGTCCTGGCCAATAAAGTGATACCAATGATAATTCAACACATTTCCAAGCAGTCTGAGGGTCTTTCTTTATTTGGATATTGACATTCATAGCACACAGCCCTTACATGACGTGGCACTATGTGATAAAATGTACATCAGCTTGAACTGTACAGAGAAGATCCTGATGCTGTAGAAGGTAAAACCGACCGCCTCAATCCTTTTATTCACACAACTGTTTTCAAGTTTTACAGAGTCATCTTTGTCCTTTCTTAAGTGCTCCTCATCATCATTCCCCTTCCTCCTCTGAAGACTCCTCTGCCTCCTCCAACCACTGGATGAACTTCTGAAGCTGTTGGAGAAAAATATGACATCAGGACAGGACAGTTGCAGTACATGACTGAAAGAATAAAAACTAAATATTCAAGTAAACTGAGACAATTTGTAATTTATTCACATGTAAATAATATTATAGTATTATAAATATATTAAGGGAGTTTTGCTAGACAGGTCAGAGTGAACTGTGAAACACACTGCTCTTTGAAAAACAAGATTAAAGTTGGTACCAATCACTGTTTAACTTGTTTGACTGCATTCATTTTATTTCCTTGTAAATCTGGTTTGATCTTGTATACATAGTTTTACTTTATTAGTGGAAGACCTTGGTAAAAAACTATTGATATTAATATGCAGCCACAGTGGTGAAACAGTAGTGATGATTGCCATAAGCAATGCACTTTTTTCTGAGAATTCAAATTATGATTGAATAATATAATTAGATAAGCCCAGTTGTGTTTACTGAACTCCCCTCTTCACCCTCTACTTTCTTGTTTTTGTCTTACTACACCAACTTCACCCCTTAATAGTATATTTGTGAAACTAAAGCCTTATGTCCTGTGTGACCCAGCTCACTCTGTACTGTACCCAGGGTTTTTACCATACTGGCCTAAAAAGGGCAAATAATAGCATACATATTATTCATAGGTAAGTTTTCATTCGTTTACCTGAATACAGGAATTGTTATTTTTTTGTTACCTTTGAATGAGCCGTTTATATTCACAGATGCTGCAAGTACACACTAGACCTTAGACTAAGACATTTTAGGGCTTTCAATTTAGATGATTGGATTTTAGACCCCATGGCCACCCTGTGTACCTACCCCCTGGTTCTTGCGGAGCTGTCTGCTCTTGTCGGTGGTGGCTCCCTGGGAGAACCAGCGCATTATCATCTCCTCCTCCAGGATCTCCAGCTGGTACATGTTCATCAAGACCTGGATGGAAAAACACCCACAACATCTTCAGCACCAGGTCACCATCCAGGCTCGATGAATGCTAATTAATCTGCAGAATCACACGGTTCCAACATGGTGACAAACTCTTCTTGTACCCTGACTTCAACCTTTATATGACTCAGCAGATTACTGAGTGTACTTGGTAGTGTTTATTGACCCTGACCTTGACCATAGCAGCCCAGTGACTCTCCTGCTCCAGGAAGTGTTCCTCAAAGGCAGACAGGCAGTCTAGATAGTCCTGTGCTCGCTTCACATAGTTCTTAAACACCGGCGCCCATTGCTTCAGTAACTGAGAGGAGGACAATATGATCAAAAACATAAGTGAGGATATTTCCTTCAACCACGTTTACACTTGAATGTGCTGGAAAAAAACATATATAATAATAACATATTTACAGGTAGGAGCAGAGCAACGTATTGTGATGCGGTAAGCTGCGGGCCCTGCTGCTGGAGAGGGTACTCCAGCACCACTCTGGTCAAAATCTGCATCACCTCCTTCAGACTGATATTGTAGGCGTACCTAAAGAGAGAGAGTGTGTCAAACTGAATGTGCAAAAACAATCATGCTGACAGAGAGCTACAGAACTGCAGGCAATTTTAAGTTCCCCCTTACTTGAGAGAGTTGATCTCCAGCACCAGATTGTCACAGCTGATGTTTTCCTCCAAACCTCTCTGCAGAGTCCCCAGCACCTCCATCTGGAACACTACACATAAACACACCAAAGAACAAGAGTCAGGATGGAAGATGTACATATCCCTCGTGTTTCTTGAAAACAGCTGCCATCATTTGGTAGTAATATAGGTAAAACAGACAAGTTTAGTAAGTTGTCTTGAGCTTAAAAGGAGATGTTGATTTTCCCCCAAAAAAGACCCATTTAAATCCTAGTAAATATTAATTATTCATTCATTTATTATGGGAAACACTTTGCTCCATATATATTGCATGGGGATTTTCTGCATGTACTGCTGACCTGATGTGCACTGACTGAAAGACACACTGAATTTCCTGATGTTCTGTCTGAAATTCACCTGTCAACATCCCATTAAAATGAAGTAGAATTGATGTTGTGTGAGGATTCAGATGAATCAGAGAATGGCTATGATCACTGGTTTTGTTGTTGGTATTTTGTCTCTTTAGCCAGTAGGGGGCAGTCATATGGTTCCACAGACAGGTGAAATTAACAATTCTCACCTTTGACATCGTCCATCTCGGGGGAGGGGATCACTGGATCGTCTGGACCGTCAGGCTCGCTGTCCTCGCTTTCACTCTCAGGATCAGGGTTCAACACCAAACCTGATGCACAACAAAGAAAAGCCAGGCTGCTGGGACATGGACTACAGCATCTGGGGAAATGCCAGTTTTACGGACTCCACAATGAACTTAACAACCGAGCCAAGTTGCCATACCCCAGAGACACTGCGACAGCTCTTCATCCTCTGTGTCATCCAGACTGCTGGTCTTCCAGATGTAGCCCTTTCCCTCTGCTCCGACCTCTGCTGGGTTGAATACTGGAGGACAGAAGAAAACACAGCTCATTACCAGAAACATTTAAACAATTGGTTCATTCCTGTATCAGTCAGTACAAAGTCAATACACACCTTTTAGTTTGGTTTTGTCTTTACTGTGACCAACCTCTGCATCGTCACTCAGGAATTCATCATCATCCTCTTCCTCCTCCTCCTCTGGATGGTGCATGGACACTACAGTGCCCTCGGGAAGAGAGACGTTTGGTCCAATCACCACCTTATAAAAAGGTTTACAGCAAAATCAAGTGATCAGAGAGAGACAGTCATAGATTTTACCAAATGTTTGCTAATGTCGATGTTCACAATGGACTGGTATGGAGAATCAGCTCGACACACAGAAACACTGGTTAATAATTTATAGATAAAAAGCTCTTTCTCCTACAGAGTAAAGTGCAAATGCATTGTCACAAAAAGCAGCACTTTTCAAATGTTAATCTGATTTGCTTGTGAAATGTTGGACTTGAGGTAAAGTAGAAGTTGACACACGTAAAGGAACATTTAGTGTCATCTAGTGGCGTAGTTGCAGAATACAACCCCCTCGCCTCACCCTCCCATTCCAAACTACGGTGGCCACGAAAAACATTAAAGGCCCCATTTGGAGCCAGTGTTTGGTCTGTCCGTTCTGGGCGTCTTTACAATCATGGTGGGAGTTGAAATGTCAGTTGAAAAGTGAGAGATGAAAGCAGTTGGATTGTCAGTGTTGAAATTAGTTGACACCTCAAGTGTGTGAATAATTTTTTTGACTTTCAATCCAAATCAACAATAAATGACAGTAATAGATGCATTGCTTACATTATATGCAAGGACACACTGTTTATTCAGCTTCACGCGTTCTTTGACCTCAGCCTTGTCGCAGACCACAGACTGGTGGATCACCACGTTGCTGGCAATGTGAACATTATTCCAGATGTAGGCATGGTCCAGGTTTACATTGTCACCTGTTGCAACAAAAATGGGACTGTTAACACCATTTTAATACATATTTATAAATAATCTACTTTCAAAACACACACAAACGATCACTTTCAGTTTTGGATAGTGCTGATCAGGGAGCTCACCTATGGTGCAGTTATTGCCGATGACGCTGTTAGAAATGTAACAGTTAGCGCCGATGCTAGTGTCGTAGCCAATGAGAACGTTCTCCTCCATCTGGCTGCCGTGGCCCAGGCTGACCCCAGACCCCCGATAGACGTTGTGGCGAGAATACGTGCAGCTCCGTCCCTTCTGGTCAATGAAGTTGGCCTCGGGGGTGAGTGGGTAGACCCACCGCCGCACGAGGTCCGACGACACCGAATCGTACATGAGCAGGTTGGACACTCGGACACCGTAGCCATCCTTGGTGACATGCATGTGTATCTGGTTGCCCAGAATCTAAAGAGAAACAAAGTCAATTATGGCTTAGGTTGCACTAAATGGCATTTGTGCAAAACGTGATCTAGATTTAAATAAAAATAAGAACTGTGTTTTACCTCTTCATTGACCAACATCCCTCTGACAAAGTCATTCCTAGTTTGGTAGTCAAAATTATCAGTGAAGAGCTCAGCAACCTGAAAAAGGAGAAAACCCTTGTTAACCTTAATCAGACACGGGTGAGTTCAGTAGCTCCTGCATCTGTTTAGAAACTAACCTGTGGGGAGCAGATACTGATGTGACAGTCCAGGAGGTCGTGTCTGATTTCAAACTCATCACTTACGCTGTGGAAAATGTTCTGCAAAACAAACAGGAGCGACTGTCATTGATCAACTCAGAACCTGAGCTCCCCCTTCACTCAAAAATATGTTTCTCTTCTTGTTCCTACAGTGTGATGTTTGATCTTCACTGTGCAGAATGATGTCTGTGCAGAGTTTGACACTAGAAGGATGTTTTCACATTCATCTGCTGAAAGAGGAAAGTTTCTCTGTGCTCATTGAATAATCTGATTTTAAAGAAGTCAGTCCTGGTCCAGTATGCTTTTACTTTACCAGAATTTGCATGTAGAAGGAGTAGATAAAGCATTTTAATGTGGAAATTATACTTTATATCAGGCACACATTATTCTTCCAAGCAGACTATTTGTACATATCTCCTAATACATGCCTGGAGATGTCTTTAAAGATGTAATAAAATGTGAAACTCTTACCATGGGGAACTGTAGCCTCTTTAGCCCTTGTGTCTTCTGGTAATGTAAAATCCGCTGGCTCTTGCTGTCCATAGCAACAATGACATCATCTTCCTCACAGCGGGACCTGTGACCTGGCGATGATTCC